TCTTGTGACGAATATGACTTTCCAGTGAGGCCGCACGTATATGGGTCCCGGGAGCTGGCGTGTGGCACTCGTCCATATTTCTCGTTGAGCATAAACTCGCTGATTGGGATGCTGTCGGGAATTGGGGCCAATTTGCCGGACTCATTCGAAGCCAAAAACACCATTTTCCAAATTCTCGGAGCTGCAGCGATCCGTCGGTATAATACGGGGGGTAAAATGTCCAAATTGTAGGGAAGTAAGGTAGTTTCGGCTCTTTATAAAGTGATACTAGCTGCAGTTGGATGAGGGCAATGAAGTTTTACTCACGGTTTAAAGATATGACAGGAATAGAAATGAGAGTATAGAGAATAAAGTAATAACCAGTCGAGGAGAGATTTATGAAAAGTGACGGGTGTGGGGAAACTGGCGAACGTGGCGCGAATCCCCAATGATTATACCGCCAGTGCCTAGATCGATCATAGTAGTTTATGCCGCCAAGACCAGAGATGCCTCGGTCCATACATATCCGAGGGTATCATCCTTGACATGCTCTCTGACTTGCTGCATCGAATCTTTACTTCAATTACCTTGTAATGGGGATATATTCAGCTTTGCGATGAACGGTATCCCGGAGTTATCCTGAGAAATCGAAGAAATTTGTCTCCGAAAGTTGAAACAAAAGCACAATACTCGATTTATGGTGGCCTTGGCGTGTAGATCATCAAATCCCCCGTACAACATATGCACCCCCAGCCGCCGCCTTACCCTTTTGGGACCATGCCGAAATACCGAGGTACTCACGTTTCACTGCGATGGAACGTACAGTCAAAGTAAAGTTATGGCGTGCATGTCGTTTTTACCACCTGTATTTTGGACCTGATCGACCATTTAACCCACCGTTTTCCATATCTCGGTCATCCAGCTCATGGAAAAGCCACCAACAACGGAGACTATAACATCTTGACTATCGTTTACCCAGGATAATCCCAATTTGCTGTTAGCAGCAAGGTGTCTGGGCCTTGCTAGTTGGGTGCTCTTATTGTGTTGTCTATCTCGAGGGTTTCTCGGTGTCCATTTCACGCCTAATTAACATACCGAGATTGCTTGTAGCATGAGGCTCATAATCAGCAGTGGACTTCCTCGAGATTGGCCTATTTTGCGATGTAAGGTCAAAGTTTACTGCCAGCTTAACCCCGACCTCGACGCCGCTCTGGCAAAATACATCTTGGGCCCTCCGCCATCCTCCCATCTCACGCTCCATCCTATCAGGGGACACTCTCCATCCCTTTCTATCATTGAATTATTTCTCAAAGCTGATCACTTTCTGAAAAAATAAAGTTCAGCACAACTTAAACACCTATCCACCTTGTATGATGCCGTTGGGCGTTCTAAACTGTGAGTCTGACTATCAACCTCCACCATCAAACATGGTTCTGTTGGCAATTGACCCTCTTCTGGGATGTTCTTTGATATGAAACTTACTCACTTCATTCCAAATTAGCTTGATTTTACAACGGATTGTGGAAGATGGCACCACGCCCTACTGTCAATCGTCAGACGGTTGAGAGACCAGTACGAACAGGCCGCATTCGTACGGCCAAAACAAAGAAAGAACAAGCTACCAAAGGTGGAAATTTCTTTTTTTTAACGATACCCATTGAATATAACATGCTAAAACTAGACAGTTTCAGCGGACCAGCTGGAAGCTGCTATCAACGATCAAGCTCTTGAGCCGGTTTGTGGAACACCCCCGGCTTGGTCAGAGGTATGCTACCACTATTCCTTTATAACTTAATGGTCTGTAGACTGAATTCTCCGCTAGGGTCGCCAACAACTTTGTGATGCGATTCCATGGTTTCGCTGCACCCAAGGTGCGATGTATCACAATGAAGGTTTCTGCTTTGGCTTTCTCATTGATGCCGACGGTGGTACCCGCACTTATATCGACGAGGAAATCATTATTACCAGAATGCAAGTATCGTGTGCCCAGAACAACAGCGTGACTCTACTAATTTCCATCAGCGGCGGATGCTGCACCAAAGACTCGGGGGGAAACTTGACCCTTGAAAAGAATCAAGACTCAGACAATGCACTCGTCCAAAGCATCATGGCTAGCCAAAACTCAAAGCTTGCTGTTGGTCTTGTAATTGGTATGTATTAATTGTTTTATAAAAAGAGGCCCGCTGACCACCGTAATAGGAAGCAAGAACAAGATACTCAACCGAAAGCTTCCGCATCGGTACAACATTATGGACTGGTTTCGTGTTACCAACGTCTGGTTTGAAAAGATTGGCCAGAAACATGGAGTCAAGGTCCGCTTTGAGAAACTGAATCTTGAAGAAACGAGCTGGTGGGCGGGCAAGGACTCTCTCCCTCCGGTGCCCCTCGATGAACGGGACTTTGAAATAAAGCCCGAAACTGTCAAGTGTGAGAGATGCTCCATGGAAAGTGTTCGATTGTACGAGGAAGGTTGGATGTGCCTTGAACCTAGTTGCGTCGACTTCTGGAAGATCGAGAACGCTTTGCCTCCCGCTGAGCTCACCTTCAATGCTGATTTCCTGAGCTTTCGGAGTCGTCCAGACCAAGCAATCCAGCCCCACTACAGTCTAGTTCCTGATCTTTTGTCCACGTTGGATGAGAATACAGCGGATGTTAGTACGTCTCGTATTGCATGGAAGGGAATCGTGTGCCCGATGTGCCTTAAATGTATCCGTCGAACTTTCTGGCAAGGCTGGAAATGTGATGATGACTCTATCGGCGAGGAGGGTGAGAAAAGCTGCCCGTTCCAAAAGTTCATGAACATGAACCCTATTTCGCTCCGGGTCGTCCTCGATCATTTTGAGCTGGCTCCGATCAAGCGAGCAATTCTTTTCGACAGGAAGTTTAGCATACCAGAGGTTGATGACAATTCCTTCTTCCCTTACCGGAAGCTGACTTACAAACTCGACGGAGTTGGCTCGATTACCCACTTTGTGTCCAACAAAGCAATCAATAGCCGTGCGACTGGACCGGATGACCTTTTCATTAATCTCCAACGTGGTGACCTTGGTCTCAAACGATTCCGGCTTCAGTCCAGTCTGGGTAAGTGAGCCAGCTACAAGCTCTACAAACATACTTTCTCACATCGGAACAGTTGCGGGTACGCTGACTTCACATTTCGCGGTCAACTACGTAAGTGAAGAGACAACACCTCAGCAAATTAGGATCTATCTCATTTGAACAAATAACATAGGGTATGCCCTATAAATATGTCGTGTCTGTCGATTCCAAGGGGTTTGATGAAGCACCCAACGACATGCTCCAGGCTCTGGGCCGATTGTCGTGGGCAACTGAAAAGGCAGTCATTTCTTCTGGAGACAAATACCTGCCTCCAAATGAGTTACTGACACTCGGCTACTTTGAGGAGATGAAGATCGGAGTAAGTCGAACTTGAAAGATTGTTTATAGCCTCGGCTAAGCTTTATTCTCTCAGTTCCACGATGACGGCGAGTCCTCGCTGGGTCCCACTATCGCCACACTGTCCCTTGGAGCGAAAGCCACCATGCTCGTCCGGATGAAGTACAAATATTTTAATGGTTCTACCCGAAGGGCTGATACCAAGCAACTTGGGACCCTCCTGCAAGACGATCCGGTTCTGAAAGATTGCTTGTTTGAGGGCGAACGCCGGACACTGAAGAAGGAGTACGATGCTGGTGAGATCCCGCAAGGTGAGTACGATGACTCTCGTCGAGCCTTATCGATGGGCCGGAAGGGAAAAGAGGCTCCAGTTACCATCAAGATGGAACTTCACCACGGTGATCTGGTTGTAATGCACGGAGAGAATCTTCAGAAGTACTACGAGGTCTGTTGCTGTTCTCCACTTCGCCAACACTGAACCTTGGATCTGACCGACATAGCATTCCGTGGTGCCCGAGAACAAGTTGCGTTTTGCTTTGACCGCGAGATACGTCAAGCCCGACTATGTTGATGCGAGGGAGATCCAGAAAGGCCAATTCTCACTCACTTCCGACCAAATCTACGATGGAAAGTGAGATTGTTATTTGCCGAAGGACACGATTTCGAAACATCTTTCGCAATTCTGCTGCAACCTGAGTACCCACGACCATCTTTATCTCTGATACGATCCTTCTTGCCGGGCTAATTTTTCAATTTTTTGTTGCGAATGATTCTTATGCCCCAAACTCTTGTTTTGCTGTTTTGTTATATACCCTACTGCTTGTACTTTTTGTGTGCTTCCTATCGATTATATCCACACAACGAGATCACTCGACGACCACTGCTGTGCTACCAGAATCATGTGCATCTTATGTGTTCTAGGCTTGGTTTTATGAAAACCTTAATTTTAGTGAAAGGTAGTTATGTTGTATTTTACATTAGGTAAATCCAGAAACAACACTAGACTAGATTAAGGTTTTTTTAAAAAAAAATATTGATCCGACCGGCTCCGCGGCTCCGCGGCTCCGCACAGCCTCTGCAAGTGCTACGCGATCTACGGAATGCGGATGTTGTACGAAGTAATGTTGTGCACTAGTTTTTCTCTCCCTCTTATTTGGTGTTTAAAATGGCAAAAAATCGTTATACAAAGGTGTGCATGGATGGGATTTACCCACTTTGGTGCATCACTGCATATCTTTTTCTGCCGTATTTGATGAGTATAATTACCTCCCCAAACTACGACACCCAAAAGCAGACCCGATAAAAATCAGCCATTTACCTATGTACATGCACAGAAATGTATGAAACGGCCAAATCACGTTTCTAAGGACTAATCTAACTTGTATACCTAGTTTGATATTTAGTAGGCCTCTACACGTCAATGAGCACCGAACACGCACATAATACTGCAAGACAACAGAATGACAATTAGTGCTCCAAAACAGTATTAATACAGAGTGCTAGTAAGAGATGTGCAGATCTACTGACCGCTTTCAAAGTGGGTGAAGACCACCCATGCACACCTTTGTAGCTCTTCCAAATAAAGAACAATGCCAAGTAGAAGTGACCGCGAATTTACCTACTAAATGACCGAGGACGCGCTGCGAGCTGTGAGTGCCACCACATGAATTTCAACATTCAAATACTGATGAAATAAGTGTGACCTTTGCCACTTGAGAAAGGTGAAAGAAGTTCAATATGTCTTTTTTTACTGCACAGGGACTGATGTAGTTTAATAGGTTCGCTGTGATAAGCAGCTAAATTGTGCGAAGTGTATCAATGCAGGCGTCGAGTGCAGTCGTACAAGAGCTGGACGACCTCGCCGGCAATCGTCATCGGCGTACGTTTTCACATGACCTCATGTTGGTATACAAATTCTTACCGAATCTAATACAGACTATCTGCTCTTGGAAAAAGATTGTTAACCTTAGAAAGAACAGTTTCAGAGTTTGGATTTCACTCTTCTTTTCTTCTGTACTCCTATTGATTGGTCGATTAGGGGCATTGAAAAAATCACTCCACCAAGTGTTGCAAATTATCTTGATGCAGATACGACATCGAAAAAAAGGAGACAAGATCATGTGTCGCACATTGAAGTTGCCTCCCAACCTGCTCAGAGTGAGTGTGCCATTGACTCATCCACACACCATGCAGAGAAGGCCAGAGTCGTCATCCAAGGAGAGCTCGATGGAAATGACCGCATGGATTGTGAACGAAAGGCAATTCTCAAGTCTGCCTTGCAGTTCGTGGATGTTACTGGGCAGCGGAAAACCTCAATTGCCGACAAATCCTCACCGTTAGAAGTGTCGCATGAAGATTTTCAGCATGATGGTCCATTTATTGCCCCATCACCAGAGCTGCTTTATATGCTTCTTCCAGGTATTCAACGTCATCTTCGTTTCTAATGCAGACACTAATAACAATACAGACCCAACAACTGCCGAAGGAGGTTCTGCCAGCGTACAATGGCCGGACCACATCTCAGATACAACAATGGAGAAGATGGCTTCCACCATTCTCAGTGATGATGACCATGAGCATGGGCAACTGATATACCAGTATTCTATATGCATTTATGTGAAGGCCATCTTCCATCTTTATCAAAAACCGAGAGCATGCAAAGATCCCCGTATCAACGCCCAGTTTCTGAAATCCAAGAAATTATATGAAACGTATGCCTTTCGCGCTCTCAAGAATCTCAGTTTCTTGAATGCCCCAACCCTTTCGTTTGTTCAGGCGTTGCTATCCGCTGTACGTCGTCATTTCTTCTTCAACGAAAAGTTCCTTGCTGACCACTATCGAACAGGCATTTTTCATGCAGTATCTTGGCAACATGAGTCAAAGCTGGATTCTCAATTCATACGCTGCTCGTCTGATTACCGCTCTGGGCTATCATGACATTCGCAATCCGCACGAGAATTCAAGCCTCGACGAAGAGATCAATAGCGCTGTATGCTGGTGCTTTTACCTCGACCGAACTCTGAGCACCCTTCTTTATCGGCCGCTGTCACTGCCGGAGCCTCGTGTCTCTCCCACAAATCTGATTAGCTCCGAGCTGCCTCAGTCCCATATCCCATTAGTGCGAATTTTGTTAGATTTGGCTCAGGTCCAAGGAGAGTTGTTGAATTGCGGAGTGGCGGATCACCCTCGCCAAATAATCGCCAATCATTCAAAACTGCAAGAACGAATGGAGGTCATCAATTCAAGAATACAATCTGTGAGTCAGACTCTGTGCTTGCCATTATTCAAGCTAAGTTGTTCTCCTAGGATCAAGCCTCAGCACCGGGCTACATGGCCTCGGATTGGATGTCATGTGAATTTTGTTACTATGCAATTCTGGTTGACATTCTTCGATCACGCTTGAAATTTGCCTTTTCTCCTTTAACGCACAAAGAATGTGTGTCATATTCTCGCAAATCTCTCAGAGCACTGCGTCATGTCCAGAAACATCTTGCGGATACCCCGGGCTTTGTGGATACGTATCCCACATTTTTGACATGGTTAGTTGGTTTACTTCATTACCCATCCTCCCACTAATATCTTTGCCTTGCCCTCAGGACTGTTCTTGTATACCCCCTAAGTCCATTCTTCGTTCTCTTCTGCAACATCATTGGAGAATTAGATTTGAATGACTACAATCTATTGCAGGACATCACACAATGCCTGTCTCAGTTTGCGGCAAGTCCATACATCTCCAAACTGCTGAAACTTCTGGACTACTTGCAAAATCTCTGTGTGCCATTGATCCAAGCCAAGCAGCGTATGGGTCCACAGGTCAAAGTCCCCACTCTGTACCCTTCAATGAATGGGACCTGGCACGACCGTCCGGCTAGTCCTATTGAGTATGCACATCCCTTGATGGCTGGCTCTCCATATGTGGGTGTTACTGGAGCGTACCCTCAGCAATTGCAAACACCCAGTGCTGGAAGCTATGCACCTGATGATGCATTGATGTGGCAATTGTTTAATAGCCAACTCTCACTGGAGTGGTTCGATGACCCTTTTTCTTATTGAGGATGCGAATAATGTTTGTTGACAGTCGGTTTGGATGAAGCGTCTCCTCTCTCCAATCCTTCCCTTTCTTTCCCTAACAAATCCAGGACTGTCAACCGCTTGTTTGTTTTTATGCTCTCAGTTTTACAAAGGCGGGAAAAAAAAACTTTGTGAACATGATAGGAAATCTTTGCGCGACCATCAGGTACTGCTGTTTCCAGAACCATTCTAGACACCACTCAATCTCTAGAGCCAAAGGGAAAATATACTGGGATTTCATTCTAGTTGTTGTGGATGCAATATCCCTAGTGGGGTCAAATTACGGTTCAGCCTCTCAGCCTTGCTCCGAAACGAATACGCGAAAGAATCGGGGGGCCATCATCTAATTCACATTCTACGAATTAAGGCTATTACCTAGGGCTCACTAGGTATACCAATGGTATCTATGGATATATCATGTTGGACCTTGTTGTGACTCAGCCAAAAAAAAAATAAGGCCATCTAACTTGTGAACGATGACCCTGGACCCCTATCGGATCCTGGGGAATAAACGCCAATTACGGAGTAAATAAGCCAAAGGTTGTAAAAACCATCTTGTATTTTAGGTCATACGGAGTACATCATCTAACGCAGGTTCAGCGTTGAAAATACTTACAGACAACGTGGAAATCCGCCATATTCACATCATTCACTCTCCTTGTACTCCGTAAATACAATAGGGCAAAGTGCATGTGGCAGCTTGTTAACAGCGGTGGAGACGGTACCTCAACTAGCGTGGGCGTAGCTGATGGAATCCTAACTCACCTCCCACATATCCCCCCCCCCTCTCTATCCCTCCCCGAAAACAACTCCTGGATTTGCATATCTACTAGACTTGGTCTCTCCATTACTAAGGCTAGTATATCGCACTCTACGGTTTCATTGGGGATGCCCATAGCCAGCTCTTCGGCAGCGTGTTACCGGCCCGCGTGGTCGTTCCCCTCATTCAAATCAGTTTGATTTGGTTCGAACTGGTCACTCGCTTTGCCATTCACCTGAGTGTCCGAGACCAGACTCACCGGTCCTGCTAATTGATCTGTCGTGCGATCCTGGGCGCGTCGAGTCAGGCCGAGTCGAATCGACATCTGGTCGGACCCTCACCCCTCCGAAACCATGTCGCAATATCCAAACAATCAACAGGCATATTACGGCCAACCTACAAACTCACCAGCATCTGTCCAACCGTCTACAAGCCTCTATGACGGTTATTCGTCCCAAAATCCCGCGACGGACCAACACCTGCCTCGGAGGATGCCGAGTTACAATGCTGGGGATGATTCGGGTTTCTTCAACCCTGCCCAGGCCCAGAATATGAGAGCGACCGAAGAAAACAGACAGTATTCAACACAAAGTAGTGGTTATGGTAGCAGCGCGGGACAGGGTGGCTACAATGTCGTGCAGGGAGGGTTTGAAAATGACAGAGAATCGAGACATTCGCGGACCTCCTCGGACGCCATGTCGCGCATGTCCCCGAGTCGCGCCTCTTCGCAAACCTCCACTATGTCGTATCAATACCAATACTCTGGAGCACACTCGTCCCACCCGGCCTACAATCCGCAGCAATACGGCCTTCCACACACGCAGTCGCAGCCAGTCCTCACTTATAACCCTCAGACGTACACTGGCGCCAGCAATGTTTACACCGCTCCAGCCTCGGGCCATCAACCATATAACCCCGCAGCATACCAATCTACCGCAGTTTCGGGACTAAATTCTCCGGTTTTACTTAGAAGGCAGAGCGCAACTTCACACTACGGGCAGACACCGCCGACTCCACACTCTTACGGATTCTCCCAACAACCAACATTTCCGCCCCCGAGGGGCGTTGATCATCCGTATGGAGGACGTTCATACCAACCAATGTCACCGAAAACATCGCCGTCTTATGTGCCGTTAAGCTCGCCCGGAACAACGCATATGCCTCCGCCTACATCGCGTCCTTATCACAGCAACTCACAGGGGCCCGCGTATGATCTCCCATCTCCCCAGTACACCCCGGCGGTCCCAGGCGGTTCCTTCGAAGAGGAGCCGCCAGCTCCCCCTGTTCATCAGACTCACGCCAACGCCATGTACGGCAGACAGTCAAGTGCATCTCATTCTGGGGCAGGGCGAACCCTGCCGACACCCCCAATGCAGTTAGACTTGTCTCAGCAACAACCGAGGCGTACCGAGACCTTCGCTCGACACCCCCAATCCCGACCTCTTCCTGGACCCCCAATCGATGAAGCCGGGGCAAATGGCAATTACTGGCCGGCGGAAGCTCCCATGCCATACGAAGTCATGCTCGGAAAGGATGAGGCGACGGTGTTGGACTCTCAGAACTTTGCCCGGCGTCACAGTTCTAGAGCATCCCATGCCAGCTCTGCTTCACGCATGCACTTCTCGCCTGATGAGGAACATACCCACACCAACGGTAACATGGAGACAGACACGGAGCATTTCGTCAATTATGATGCGTCCATTGACGAAAGCGATCCCGAGGCCAATGCTGGTCTGATAATGATGCAGGAAGATATAGCGCGTGAGGAGCGTGAGAAAGGGCGGATGCGACGTGAGACCAATGCCTCAGTTGTCAGCTCACGTGGATCCAACATATCACCAAGAGGGCATTCGCCATACTCTGATCCCAACGGTGATGATGATTCCATTCATGACCTAGGACAATACGGAGGAGGCTACCTGGCCAACGTCCCTTATGATGACGAGCCATTCTACAATTCGGAAGACCAGTCGGAACCTACTGCGGATAACAGATTTCCAGGCACATCTGGTTCATTTGGAAGCTCTGTGTCCCCTGAAGACCTTGGTGAATATCATGATGAATATGAGCATCCGCCTATTGCATATGATTACGCCAGACGTCTCCATCACACGCCGGCCGATGCTAGGGTAGATGCCAGTGGCACAGGAGGACTATCGGCGCCCGATGCTTATTCCCGACGGATGAGCTTTGACTATGGCGATGAGGGAGAAACACCATATGACCATACCTATTCTGGAGATCAATCCGATGATGAGAGCCCCCACCGATCCGCACACGAAGATCTGTTCTTTCACCCTGGAATGCGTCCATTGCCACCAGCACCTGTCGAGCCTGCGGGAAATGCCGATCTGATGTCGCACTTGATGCCTGCGGGTACCTATAACCGCCACTTGGAGCAGCAGGATGACTTGGATATTTATTCGCAATATAACAACCCCTCCCTGCCAAACTCTGCAGACTATTATGGCGATGCTCTGCTGAATTCGTCTCAAGTTCCGCGATCGTCATCTTTGTCGGCTCCTATTGGACCTCGTACTGATGCACCCATCAGATCGAAGACCGATGCGGACCGGCTCAGATACAGGCAGCAACAGCAAGAACTTCTCTTGCAGCTTCAGCAAAAGGACCGGTCTCATATCGATCCAGCGGCGGCTATGATGCTGGATCTGCCAAGCATCCCGGCTGGCCGGCGCAAGAAGTTCTATCCCGCGAAGCTATCATCGGAACAATTCAAGAAGTGTAGTGAACCGTGGGCTTTGAGTTCTCTTCTATCCTGGATAAAAGATCTGAGTGAAGACGAAACAGATCTCAGAGAGCAAACGATTGCCGATGCCATGGTGGCTTTGTTCACCCACAAAGTCCCCACCATGAATATTGCTGACGCCGAGACACTGGCTGCCCGAGTTGTGAGCGGTATGCTTGAAGAAGGTGCATTGATCAAAGAAGAAGAATGGGTCAAGTTTGGCCCAGGCACTCTCTCGGGTATCCTGTTCCAGATCACCGGCACTGGATGTTATTCTCCCAGGCTCCACTTACATGAGATGCACATTGAGGATACTGATAGTTTCGCACGATGCTACTCGCATCACTGTATGCGGACATTGAAGAAGGTCAACCTCAAGGCACAGATTATGGCACCGCAGAAGAAAATCGAGGACTGGGTCACTTTCTACAAGGTGCCTAAGGAGGTCTGGGAAACTCATCCCAAGAAAGAGATTGATCGACAAAACAATTTGCACGAGATTGTCACTACAGAAGACTCCTACATCGCGCAACTGGATGTCCTTCGAGAACTTTATCGTGATCAATTGGCTAACATGAATCCCCCAATCATTCCAGTGAAGCGATTACCGAAGTTCTTGGCTGATGTATTTGGCAAGGTCGATGCTGTGAAGAGAGTCAATGAGGATTTCCTGTTGGCACAGCTTAAATACCGTCAAAAAGAACAAGGGCCTTTCATCTCTGGGTTCAGTGATATCTTCCGGGAATGGATTCGCAAAGCGAAGAATGTTTACATTGACTATGCTGCAACCTTCCCAACGGCAAACTATCTTGTGCGCAAGGAAGCTGAGCGCAACCCGCACTTCAAGCAGTTCCTGAACCAAGCGCGGGAACATAAACTGTCAAGTCGCCTTAGCTGGGATACTTTCCTCAAAGCTCCAATTACCAGAATCCAGCGGTACACTCTTCTGTTGGCAACTGTCCATAAGAATATGGTCAAGGATACCGAAGAGAAGACAAATCTGGCACAGGCCATTGAAGAGATCAAAGTCGTGGCGCTGGAATGTGACAACAAAGTAGGAGAGATGAGCAAGAAGGCCGACTTGATGGAACTGGCATCCAAGCTACAATTGCGCCCTGACATGAAGAATGAAGTTGAACTCAATCTCGAACACTTGGGTCGGCAGATCATCCATCGAGGCGAGCTGCAACGTCCTGGAACCCGCACAAGATTCCTGGTCGACACACATGCCATCCTGTTCGATCATTATCTTGTCCTCGCCAAGATATTCACAATGCGTGACCGGGCAGTAAAGTACGAGCGCTATGATATCTCAAAATTGCCCATCCCAATGGACCTATTGGGTCTAGAAAGCACTGACGATGATCCTGTGGGCAAATCATCCGTCAGGGGAGTTTCGACTGTCACGCCCTCCCAGGCGGGCGTTGGCAGCCCTCTTGCACACACAGGGTCTGGTGCATCAAATGGGGCCGTTGACTACTCAAAGGATGACAAGATCCTCTACCCTTTCAAAATCAAGCATTTAGGCAAAACTGGAACATATACTCTCTACGCTTTCTCGGCACAGAGCCGCCTGGAATGGTGCCAAAAGATCATCGAAGCGAAGACAAAGCATGCTGCTGCTCTCTTCTCGCAGAACGCCGAGCCATTTCGACTGCGGGTTCTTGCGGACACTGCGTTCGGCTACTCTGATCAGACATTCGGCTCTAAAAGTGTCACCATCAAGGGCACCCCTCTCCATCGTGCGATCAGAGAAGTCGAGAAGCAATATGAAAATTCGAGGACTCGTCCTCCAGCGGTATGCAAGAGTGCAGTCAACTGTGCCACGGTATTCCAACAGCCACCTGGGCGTATTATGTGTGCAATTGGCACGGAAAATGGATTGTACATGTCAGAGCTCAACAACCCGCGGGGCTGGTATAGGGCTATTCCCATCATGCGGGTTACACAAGTTGCTGTCTTTGAGGATTTCAATTTGCTGTTGTTGATTGCAGATCGGTCTTTGATTGCATATCACCTCGACGTGGTGTGTCCCGCCAATGGGAAAATCTCCCAATCATCTCAGGATTCTGCTCGTCGAGCCCCGCAGAAGCTGTCTGGGAACCGTGAAGTGGGCTTCTTTGCCGCTGGTCGTCTAAAGGACCGGTACTTGGTCCTGTACAAAAAGCGTGAGGGGTTATCATCTACATTCAAAGTATGTACAGTCCCAGCAAACTTCGCAAAGTAACAGCAAACTCACATACAAAATCTAGGTCCTTGAGCCCGTTCTACAGAAATCATCTACAAATAAGAGCCGGCTGTTCTCACGCCGCTCACAAACGGAGTTCTTCCGCGATTACGACGAGTTCTACATCCCCGCTGAAACCTACCGAATTAACATGTTCCACTCCTCACTTGCCATCTCAACCCAAAAGGGCATCGAAGTCCTCACCCTTGATAAGAAACTTTCATGGACTGTACCAGACTTCAGCTCCAACGATACCCAAGATGCACATGATACCCTGAACAGCATTGCCGATCGCATCAACGGGCTCAAACCACTGGGAATGTTCCGTCTCAGCGAGAGCGAGTTTCTAGTAGCTTACCAGCAGTGCGCTGTGTACGTCAACAAGCACGGTGACGTTTCTCGCAGCGTAGTCATGGAGTTCGTGGGCAGTGCGCACACAGCCTGTCTCTATGGCAAGTTCCTAATTCTCTTCAACGACGACTTCGTCGAAGTCCGCAACGCAATGAACGGCCGCTTGCGCCAGGTTATCCCCGGCCACAACGTCGTCTGCATAGACGACGGCAGCAAGGTCGCTGGCTCCCTCAATGGAAATGCACAGGCCACCACCGGTGGTTCGACGGGTCTTTCTAGCGGCTTCTCCGCCCCTAATGGCCCCTCGGCCGCGGGCATGGGCAACACGGTCAAAATTTGCATGCAACATCCAGAGGATGAGCGCAAACAGATTGTCTTGGAGCTTCTCGAGAATGAGGGGCAAAAAGACTAAACCAATCTCTAGCTGGCCGTTTGGGGGTCGGCCTAAATTCACCTATGATTTTCATTTTGGATCTCAGACTTCTCTTGGGGCTTGCATCTGCCACTCGCACCTTGCCTTTTTTTTTTGGTTCGCATTTTCGTGCACCTTTCATTCGCCTCGGCCTGATCTTCATCCAATTCTACTTTAGGGTCTTCTTTAATTCTCCGCCATGGTTACACCTTTTGTCTATGGACGGTGCCTGATTCCCCTCCCTTCATATGCTTGTTTTATACCCCTTTTCTTCCTCTCCTGCGTCGCCATCACGGAAGGCCATTCTACTTCTACTTCGAAGGCTTGGATTGGTGGTAATTGACCGCTTCTGCCCACTGGGGTTGTTCCCCAGCCTACTTGATGAAAATGCTGTACATAAAAAAATGTCGTTGCATCTCATGACCTGACGATTCTCTGAATTCCGAATACTTTTGGTTCATGGGCTACTATTTGCCCTTGCGAAATTTGGATTTAGTTGGTGGAAACAAATAGATCTAGAAACTGTATTCTGATCTTGACACATTTACATGAATCGCAAATACTTTGTAGAATTCAGTACATGTGCGAAGAGCGCTACATCGAACCCAAATGTCCAACAAGGAAGAAAAGATCCTGTAGTAGGATTCTTTCTAAGATGGATTTTAAAATCCATTCCATTCCGAGGGGAACCACGCAATCGGATATTGAATTCAAATATCCAAACCAAGAGTTGTAGTACAAGATTGCATGAGGATCTTAACAAAGGGATCGACAGTGATAAAAAAATCCCCAGATGAGATGGCGGTCAAGCGCACATGACATAGAACAGCATGCAAGAAAATCATGAGTCAAACTCAACGAGCTTGCTAATAACCTCGCCATCACGGACTGTGGAAGAGCCACGGCCCACAACAGAAGCTGTAGAGCCAGAAACTTTGCGAGGAGCGTGGTTCGCAACCTCCTTTCCGTCCAATAGAGAAGTTCTCTCTTCCTTTCCGCCGCCAAGCACCTCGGCTCCTTCAAGGAGGTCACGGTCAGCATCACGAACAACACTACGGCGCTCCGGATCAGCGCCGTATGCGCCAGCACCCCAGCTAGGGATACCGCCAGGGATGGCAGCGGCAGCACTCTCACGACGGGGATAGTCGTCATCGTCATCGTCGTCTTCTTCTTCCTCACGGCCAAGAGCGTTACGTTCGAGATCGCGCTGCGCCTCGTCCATTCGCTTTTTGACTTCGGCGGCCATGCGGATTCCATCTGAGACAATGTTGTCGAGGACGCCACGTAGGCCCTTGCCTGGTGGCACAATGCCTCCCGAGGCGCCGGCGACGGGTGCTGAACCGGCAGAGAATCCGGGGGGACGGATACTGCCGAGGTTGGAGAAGGTTGTGAGGTTGGATGACATCGAGGATGATGCGGCCAGAGCTGCGGGGTGAGGGTGGTCGGAGAGGTAGAAGGATTGAGGGAAGTAGGATTCAAAGAACTGTTCTAGAAGTTCGTCGGCCAGAACAACCATTCGGAAAGTGGGGAGTGTGATATGCAGGGGATTGTTAGGGTCGAGAGCGGGGTTGGCAGACTCGGATGCTAAGCGGTTATGGTCGTTACTGTCTGATTCGGCGGTGGACTTGGATGATTGGGGGGTTGCGTTTGGTGCTGGAGAGTTGGTGCCATCAATGTCAATCAGGTTTTCTTCTTCGTCGTCATCGTCGCCAATGGCAAATGAGTCTAGCTTCTCAGTTGCCTCTGCCGTTGTATCTTGCTGATCTGTTTTTTGGTTCTCTAGGTGGCTGGGATCGGCGTATTCGAAACAGCGACGGATGAACGCGCTGACACTACCAAGGAATTTCTCGTCGGTAGTGAGCGAGTTCCTAGCGTGGTCGCGGTCTCCTAACGAGTTCAGATTTTCCACGGATGGAGTGGCCGTAATTGTGCCTTCAAATCCATGCCGGGACAGGAACAACAGCGCCTCGGATATTTTGAGGATGCCCTCGCGGTCAACCTGGCCATTTCCACTGTCATCGTACAGGTCGAAGAAATAGTTGATATTGTTCATGATGTCAGGGGATCCCTTCAGGCGGGCAAGACCATTCACTACATTTTGGAGATTCAATCCCTCCTCGGGATCTGTGGCCCACTTGCGGTAGAGGCGTTGCATGAACTCATGATCTGCTGGCTGCCGGCGATTCGCCCACAATGCCGATTTTCCGGATGAGGATTCTTGCGTCGATGGTCCAGGGGACTCAGCGACCGCCCATTTGGATGTGGCGGCTAAAAACTCCCGGAAAGCATCATAATCCATATGTGTGGGGCTAGGTCCAAGACCAACACGACCAACTTGGGTATCCGCAGGAGGAGCAAGCATAGAAAGGCGTTGGGATTTCTTCCTCTCTTGTCGCCTAGCCTCTTCCTCGATAACTCGTTGGCGCTGTTCCCACTGGTACAGCGTTTCATAGAAGCGATCGTATATCGTTCCAAGATCATCCACGCTCAGGCGTTTGCTTTCGGGTCCGAGGTTGCGGATAGATGTACGCTTTGCGAAAGTCTCGATATTCTCTAGCACAGCCCCCTTGTGCTTTTCGCGGGTCTCGGTGATCGTGCTGTGAGTGATGCCAGAAAACTCCTTGAAAGCAACCACCATCAATTCTTGGAATCTAGTAATAGCGCGCAGCTTGGGATTCTCTGATCTCGGGTGGGCAGATTCATCCAATCGTGAGAAATACGACTTCAAGACAGAGATAAACGACCCATCATCTTGTGTCTCGAGAAGCTCCTCGCCGTTAACTCGGAGAATGGCAAGACCGACCTGAAAGAGGACTTTTGGCCCTTCTAAGAAAAACACATCCAAGACCCGGAAAGCAAAGACGAGCGGCATGGAGTTGATGTAAAGGGAGAGAAACCATGGCAAGGATACCACAGATAGTTGTACATCTGATTTGGTGAGGTGATCCCAGAGTACTGGCATTGTTTTCTCAACTAGAGACTCAAACACCTTTTGGTCGAGTAATGTGCCGTACATTGTTGTTGAATAGTAACCGGGAAGAAGACGGCCACATAGCACAGAGAGAAGGGAAAAGGCCTGGGCCTCTGACATATATCTGGTCAAGTTAGTAGACAGCCTTGGCAACTTGAGATACTGAACATACATCAACAATGCGGCAACTACAATGTTCATTGCTTGGCAATACCCAATCTCCGGATCAATCCAACTGTAGGCAGTGAGGACTCTCCGCAAGCGTCCAATGCCTTCTTCGCTCTGAAATCCAGGATATTCTGGTAGACTGCGATTCAAATCTTTTTCAATCTCATCAATAGCAAGGGACTCCTGTCCCTCAAATTTGGCCAGTGTCTGTTGATACAGCTTCGGAGAGTTTATACGAAGGAACAGGGAGCCAGATGTAAGCTCCCATATTTCTCCGCGTAACCGATTTGGCAACCCAACTCTGATTAGCTTGTGGAAAGTTGGTTGACGAACCAACGTAGCATTTCGACCATTTTCTAGTGGAGATCAGTCAAAATGTCGGAATTTCCAATCCAAAAAAAGGTTTAAAGTCTTGTTACCTCGAAAATATTCGCCCCAAAGTCTCATCTTGCTACGGTCACGCAGCTTGCGTGCATCACCAGGGTAGCGGAAAATTAGACCCAGCCCCGCATCTGGGGGCTGACGAGCATCGGCCTCCTTCCCGTCTTGTGTCTTTCCCTTTGCACCGGAAAGCAGATATTCCGAATAACAATCCGAGACGACGGTCCGCACGTTGTCAACCTCCTTCATTCCTTCCCGCAGGCCTTTTTTCAGTGTGTCACAGAATCTCTCGCAGGCCTGTCTGCTACCGACAAGCTGCAATATAAGACGTTGGGGGGCGAAGTTGGGTTCTTGTGGCTTATTGAGCAAACCATTCCATGTCGTGAGCGCCAGGGAGAAAACGTGGTTGGCGCTATGAAGGCGTTCGACACGCCGTATGCAGGAAAGCGGTAGAATAAATCCATTACCAGATGGCCCAGTGCCGTGTGTCTGGCCAGTCCAAGTAGTTGAGGCACTCGCTGTGGCAGAGGGAATGAAGCTCGTCGGCTGGGTTGAAAAGCAGATGAAACGTTCACTTAGATGCAGACGTCCGGTGTATGTAATTCCCGCCCGTTCAACCTTTCGGGAGCCATCTCCTTGATTTGCTGAGGAGTTTGGTAGTGTTAGAACGAGATCAGCGGTGATCTCTTGAAGCGGGTTCTGGGAATCAGGGAGGCGGAATTGTTGCCGGAACAGCGATGCCTTGGAGGGATTGTGATCGGGTGAGGATAGGGCGGGAATGGTGAAATTGGCAGGGTCAATCAGGCTCTGGGCCTTCTGAACGAAGGAGGACCACGGTATCATGTTGGAAGGTGAGATTTGTGAGAATGTCCTGAAGCCGATAACCGATGATGTCGGGATCAAGCTACAGTTGGGGACTTTGAGACCAGCGGATCCGGGCTAGGAATGGGAAAAAAAAAGCCCGTGCGTAGTTTAAATTGGAGCTTCAAGGTCATCGTACAAGCTAAATCATCCTTTGCCGAGGACTAGGCCTGCAGAACAAGTGGATTAAGTCGGGTGTGGTTGTCGGATTGATAAGAGGGGGCGTGATGATGCCGGTTTCACGTGACTGTCCTCAGCCTTATCCATAGCTTGGCATCACAGCATTCAAGTTTAATACATGGAAAGGTCTTCTGTAGGAAGTCTTCTTTCCGTAGTCCTGGCCTTGTGTATTGTGTGGGATCTGCACTGTGGGCCAATAGCATATGGGGGAAAGACATCTGCCAAAGACATCCAAACAAAGTGTTTTACCGCCTATATACACTCTAGCGACATACAACACGAACAAGGATGAAAAAAAGTCTGTACAAAAGAATGCCAGAAGGTTGTTCGAGCCTGCATACCCGACAGACTATTCTTGTGTCTCATATATAACGAGTGTATAGTTTAAATAGCAAGAGACTCGACAATATCCTTCGCTGTCAGGATAGAACATCAGTCAGTGCATTGGACTAAGACCTTACAATGCTATACTATAAGAGAAATGCCGAGATAATTCAATTTAAAAAGGCTTGACTAACATGAATTTAAACAATGCAAAGGCCTGAGATGAGAGGACACAAACATATTATTGTGGAACAAAATAAACGGGGATTAAACCACTTGTCCAAGCTTAAAATGAAAGCAAAAGAATACTTTGAAACCATACAGAATAAAAAAAGGCCAGGGCTGAGAAGCTTGATATGATAGTGAAAGAAGATGTTTAAATCAAATAGGATGTATGTGAAATAAATGAGAACAAGAGAATGCTGGAACACAAGATTTGGAATAGAACATGATGTAAGCAAAACCAAAAGCAAAAAAACCAAATTGAAACAAGACAAGAAACAAAACCGAGCCTAAGGCAATCATTGGCGATTGAAATTGGCCGTGGGATAGCCCAATCAGAGCGAGCAAGTATATACTAATCCAGCACTGTACAGACTGTGCAGAAAACAGCAGAACTTGATTTTTGCTCTTTTTCCATAACTCCTAGGTGTCAGGGAGCCATTTGGAAAGCATTGGCCGCGGAGGAAAAAAAATGGAGCCTGGTTTGGCTAGTGGTTGTTGTAGGGCAACAGACAGCAAATCTGGTGTTTTAGTTTTCGGGGGTTTGTTTTTTGGTTTTTTTCGAGTGATCCGAGCTTCAGCATTGAGTTAGTGTGAGTTTTGGCCATGGGAACAAATGGGAATCCCAATGTGACTGTAATGGCGATAGGCCGAACGACAGACATCTTTGAGGGTTTTGTTTTTGTTTTTGTCCATGTCAATTAACCCTGGAGCGTCAGAAGGCTTGCTATTTCTGGCCCATTGAATTGGCAAATGAGTGGAAAGCCCAGTCTAGCTGGCAATAGCTGTTGATCAAGGATAGTGGAATTGTTTGGGTTCTTGTTCTGCTTGCTTTAATTTTGCTGTTGTTTTTGAAATTATGCTTGATGCTGTTCGGGGTTTTGTTCTTGCTTTCACAAGGGATCTGTCTTGTTCCGGGAAAGATATTGAAAGGTCAGTCCAGCTGGCTGGTGATGGGTTTTGTTCGAAAGGCGACTTGAAAGAGTGCCTTTGTGTCTTATGGTTTTGAATTATTTTTATTGGGTGTAGGAAGGAAAGTCTAGGTGAGACTCATAGTGTGACTGAGCGCCGTCGAGAAAGGCTGATAATGGCTCTTGAACAAATGATAGTAGGCCTCGATTGGAAGACAAGATCAACATGGGAGTTTTTTTTCATCCTTCTTTTTTAGTTCTTATCGAGTGATCCACGGGCCTCAGAGGCCTCATTGTATTCAGGAAGTATCTCGGATGAGGAGCGAGGGATGGTCATGAGGCCCTGCTTTTCACATGCCTCGCCATCCTCCCAGGCGGCCTTGCGCTCCGAAGCAGTGGTGCCACGGTAGCGCTTCCAGAGGAAAACCACAGCCTGGCCGACTAGCATGCCAATGGCACTAGCAGTCAATCCAGCCAGGACACCTAAAACAGCGGGGACTACGATAAAGTGTAAAATGCGAGAGAAAGTGCGGGTGAAAGCGCCGTGGTGGACGTGGCCATAGCCGCCGGGGCCAAACTTTTCACGCCCAGAGCCCTCTTCCCCAAAAGGAGGTGGGGGAGGGAAAGGCATACCGTCATGACCTTCTTCGTGGCGATCCATTGTGTTGTCGTTGTGTTTGCCATGGCAGCTCTTGCGGCCGGCTTTGGCCATGCCCATCACACGAGCCTTGGCGCCAGCCAAGAGACCCCCGATGCGAGAGACCAGAAGTTCCTGCAGACATTTGGCCTTGCCGTGGCACTGCTTCCAAGACAAACGATCGGAGGCAGGGGCGGTGTTTTCGATTTCTGTCCGAGCGATGAAGAGCTCGCCGTTGGAATCCTGTAGAACAGCGATCGCAACGGTATCGACAGGGACCGGGTGGGTCTCCAGGTCGAGAACAGTGAATCGAATATCCAGGAGTTCGTAACCGGGCTCATCAGATGGTGCGACCACTGGCATGATTTCAAGCGCATATCCAACCGGCATGGGAGCGGAGTCCTCTCCCTCTTCATTTTGTTGCACAGCAAGAATTGGGATGGGCGGGGCCGGTGGGAATATTTGGCGGCCGTTGGCCAGCAGGCTGTTGTCTTCGATCGAGAATTCTAGAGACTATGGGGTTTCGTTAGTCAGTTTGATGGGGATTCGATTCTGTCATCCTTACCAGAGATGATGGCTTGCCCTCCGTCCAGCTAACAACACCTTCGTCGTTGGTTTCACGGAGAGGACATTCAAAGCAGGGCAGGTCAACAACCGCATGATGAACATCTTCCAAAAGCATGGGGTGAACATTCACAAATCCATCTTCAATAATATCGACTTTAGGTTCCATCTCGGGGACGACTAGCATGGCACTGGCGCTTAGAGCAGCAGCGCCACCCAGCAAGACGGAGCGCATGAACATGGTAGAATGAGGTAAGGCTTGATGCAAGAATGCAAGTCAGAAGCAAGGCGATGCGACTCTCCTTGAAGTCGATGAGATGAGTGGACTCAAAAACGATGTAGTGAACAGTCCAGAGTACACCGAGGGGGTTATGGAAATGAGCGATCTTCTTTCAGGCGGGGAGTGGAGTGGATGACGCCAGCGTCTGCGTGGCTCGTGCCGTCATTGGTGGACAGCGGTCAGTCAGCCTGCTGACTGTGTAGGCGGCATCTTCCGGGCTTGGAAATTCGCGTTGAGATTCGTAGGCTTCTAAAGATTCTCCCAACGCCAAGTCGCACACCATGGTGTATTATGACTTTTCTTTTTGTGAAAATGGAGATTGAAAGGGCTCTAGTTCCTGCCTATCGTGGATGCGTTTAAAATCATGTTGATGGCTGTATACCGCAGTACAACCCAGTTTAATACATCTCTTTCAGCTGCCTGGAGTGGGCATAAGGTCTTCTTCGAGCCGCATGGCACTGCGGTATACATTTCAAGACCATGAAACACAATTTTGATACTGGCGTGGAGTTTCGCCGGGCGCCGAAACCACTTGCTCAGCCTGGTGAACGTGCAGGAGGCAGCAATTTCTGATTGTGCCACACCAACGCGTACGCCGCAGTGTCGTGTTTTCCAGCTTCTGGGAGATGAAATGATGTCCCCAAATCCCAGGAGCTGGCTGTTCTCTATGCCATATTTCCAGCCTCTAGGGAGTTATATATAGGTCCCATCTCCCAGGGGCTGGCCGGTGTTCCCGTGGCATGTTCTGCGGGCTGACCATAGAGGTGGTATTGTTTGTGCCATTTTGCCAGCCCCTAGGAGGTAATGCTCTCCGCTTCCAGGTGCTGCCTATTGCTGAAATTTGAATGGCTAGCCTGCTGAACACGCAGATGGTAGAATTAATACCATATTGCTAGCCCCTAGGGGGTAAGTATAATGTGCTCGTCTCCCAGGGGATGGCTGGTTTTCCCGTGGCGTGTTCAGCGGGCTGACCATGTAGCCAACTCCCAGGTGATCATATCATGTCCCCTATCCCAGGAGCTGGCGTGCTGTTGCTAAAGGTAGCATGGTCAGCCCGCTAAACATGCAGATGGCAGCTTTTGTGCCAAGTTGCCAGCCCCTGGGAGATGTACTCCCAGATCCCAGGGGCTAGCTAATGTTCGTGCTGCTTGTTCAGCAGGCTAACCATGCAGACGATATTGTTTGTACCATCGTGCCAGCTCCTAGGAGATCGTATAATGCTCTCCGCTCCCAGGAGCTGGCTGTTGCTAAAAGTAGCATGGTCAGCCTACTGAACGCGCAGGCGATATTATACATCATAATCGTGGTATAATCGTTCTCATGCGCGGGCAAGATGACGCCAGTCGCACATCTTCTACCCAGTTTCCTGGGTAGGCGAAGCAAATATACCCGAATATAAGATACTCCCGGGCTCAGAAATCGCACTCGGACATGTTCAGACATGAAATCAAATATCGAATCAACATGGGCTGAATCAACATGGGCTCAGACACGGTGTCGAAACAGTTCTCGAACATGACGCCTTTTAACGGCCGACAAAAAAATCATACACCACCCCGAAGGGTGGGCAACAAACAAATCGTACATGTTGTCATTCGACAACCGACACAAATAAACATCGCCCACCATAAGAAAATCGAACACAACTCAGAACAGGTACCCTTACAAAAATGCTATGGGTGTCGACAATGGTAATTAAACAAGAGTACTCAAACAATCGGTACTTGTTTCGCTGTCTTTGGTAACAGACACATGTTGCTGTAACTGTGCAGGTGAAGCGGTAATCATCGGACTTGCCAGGTTCCTGCCTTGTCGTTGAAAAATCATATTATCCATCAAGAGGTGGCTCATTCGTCCCTCCCCTTGATAGAGCGCGTACCACTTGCCATTAACCGAACAAAGTCCGATCTCCGGCAAAACAACGGAGGAAGACATAGATAATCCGCTCCAAGAATGGAACGTCATACCCGTGCTCCCAGCGCAGTTCCTCCAGGAACTGTTCAGGACCCTCCAAGGCGTATGCCAGGTGCTCAAGGTGATCTGCCCACAGGGGGAAAGACAGCAGCATCACCATCACCATGAGGAATACACCAAAGGAGAGCCAACGAGTTCCTGTCCACAATCCCCTCAGCAAAGCCGATATCTCATGCATGTCTGACTCGTCAGACACAGTGACGGCGGGTGGGTCGGAAGGCCAAGCTCCTGGCATTTGATGACCAGAAGTCGTTGCCTCTTCTCCGCCCATTTCCTCCCGCAGTTCTCCTGCAGTCTGTTGAGCGCTGCAAGTCTGGATTTCGGCGTCCTCGACCCTCTTGGTGCCTTTCGAAACCCCCGCACGGGAATCTGTCCCTGTTGCAACGGCATTCTTGACCGAAGCGTCTTCAGGACTGGCATCCAGGGAAGAGGTGGAGATAATTCGAGGGGTTGCTGTGACCTGCAACCCCTCAGGAGAAGACATGATGCTAGGATGAGCTTGAGTCCTTGCCGCTCGCATCGCAAGCAACACATCGAGGTGCGAACGAGTACCGGTCCGCAGGATCGGAACAACAACCTCATTCTCGGTCTGCCAAGTCAGATCTGATTCATTCGGAGTCGGCTTAGTAACAGCAGGCACACTCAGAATTTCATCAGCTGACGATTGCTCAGTCTGGGTTGACTTAATTGGGGCTGGCTCACTAGGAGCAGGCGCACCCACAACTTCATCAGATGGGATGGACACAGTTGACGCGGGAGTAGTGTACTCAAGCACACCAGACTCGGGCATAGTGGACTCCAAGCCAGCTTGAGTCGGCTGGGGAACAGCTGGCGCACTCATAGCTGCCTCAGAGGGCACCTGCTCGGTCGAGACGGTCTCAGTGTGCTCCAGAACAGTCGAAGTTGGCTGAGAGACAGCTGGCTCACTCGTGACTGCCTGATCGGTCTTAACAGACTCAGTGTACTCCAAAGCAGTCAGAGTTGGCTGCGAAACAGCTGGCACACTCATTTCCGGCACTTTCGGGGCTGTGTTCATCACATACACCTCAGAAAGGGAAAGCAAAAGCGATCCGTTGGCTTCCACCATCTCTTTTGTGATCCGTTTCTTGCAGTTTGGTCCTTCGTTTTCGCTGAACTCGACAATTCCCGCTCTGCGTTTTCGCACAGGGAGATTGACGAACTCTATCACCCTCCGGCGTACGTAACGCCGACGACTTCCGGTAAGACGGTCCCGTCGTTTGAAGACCCGGTCGCGATCGCTCGGCAACTTGGGGGTTTCACGGGCAATCATCACACCTTCTGCGATTGTGTGACCAAGTCGGGGCGAAATCGGAATAAAACTGGCATTGGCGGAATCCGGGGGAATCACGGCGCTGGATATCTGACCAGCAACCATCAGGACATCATCGGCATTGGCAGTGACTGCGGGAATGAGTGGGGGCTGACCACTAGATGCCTGGCTCGGAGCCGCCAGGTCATCTTTGTTGTAGAAGGTGATCTTCTGTGCTGGCTCCCAATCCCATTCCATGTAGCCGTCAGTGGCCTCGCCATTCAACTTTGCAACTTCGGAGTAAAAGAGTTGGTTTTCGATTATCATCATGTCGTTGTTCTCCACTTGCTGGGGAGTGATAGTAAGGGTGGTAGCTGGTGCTTCTTGCACCGCTGCATTTTGGTCGCCCACCTGCGACTCATCTGCCTGCAACATATGGGCGGCAAGTTCCTGTTCCGTGGCCTCAGTTTTCACGTTCATGGGTGATCCAGCGCGTGATGATTTGCGACTATCCAATGACATAAAATCAGAAAGAACGCTGGGACTTTCCGATCGAGATCTGACGGAGCAGTCGGCGTCGCCAATGTCTATGCTGATGTACGCATTAACCTCGTGATCCTCGGGCTGGAGCGATCTCGGGCCACGTTCCTTTCCTTTACCGAGCTCCCGCGGGTGAGGATCAAATGCTTGCCCATGGGAGCCTGGTTCCTGGCATCCCACGGCATAGCGACGCTCAATGCCCACGGGGTGGGTCGAAGACTCAGCAATTGGTGCCTTGCGAGTCTGGACCTGGCTTCCCCTTGTGCCTTGCATGGCCGCAGCAAGCATTTTCTCCAAGTTCTTAAAGAGGCCTTTGACTCGGTCCTCTGCACCCGCGAGGCGCTTTTGGCGTTGCAGGCTATAGCCTGCCGCAGCGACTATTTGCCGCAGATCCTGAAGGTCTCTACGGTCCTTTTCAATAGCTCGCCGGACATCTTGGAGGGCGGCTTTTTTTCCTTCCGCCCGTTCAAGATCTTCAGATACCTGGTCCAATTGATGGTCTAGGATCTGGAACTGGGCATCGATTTCTCTAGCCCGGTTGCTAGTAGATTTTTTGCACAGCATTTCCATCTGTCGCTGCTCAACAAAGCAAGTGGTTCTGCGCTGCGTTGAAGTGATTTTAGATTGGAGGGCCGAGGCCTGGGACCTGGCACGGCTTAGCTCCATCTCCTGCCGATGAATTGTCGCTTCGGCATCACTCAGTCTTTCGTTAAGAGCGCTGACTTCGCGCTGTGCTTGACTTGGTCGGGCACCGATGGGGGTGGAATGGGCTGTGTCGGGGCCCACCAGGGGGGTGATCCTGTGCGGAGGACCCTGGTTGATGAGAGAAGAGGAAGGTTTGGCAGTCGAAGAAGGACCTGGGACCATCTGGGGGCCAATGGGTCCCTTGCGGGGCCGGGCGATCAGAGGGATGGCGGGGGTGGGGGCACCCGTCACCTGGAATCCACTGACGCCGTTACGGCGAGCCGGTCCCTGCTGGGTTGCCATGCTGAATTTTTGAAATATGTTAGATATGGTACCTGGAAGAGTTTCTTGCAAAGGCAAATGAACTCACAAAAGAAAAGGTGACACAAGAAAGAATCGTCCAGACAGCTGGAGATATTGTCAAAGGTTGCTGCTAAATTGGAAGTGGTAAGAGACCATGCAAGGAAAAGGAGAAGAGAATCACTAGAAAGACTTACACAACAGAGACACGTCTTGAGACGAACGAGAATGTGTGAGAGAGAAAACGTCTTGTGACTTCCGCCTAGAAACTGGACACAGAAGGCTACGCGACAAGGTGTGAGAATGGTAGACAGTTTACTTGGAAGGACGGTTAGGACTCACCAGAGAAGGGTTCGCAGATTGCTTGCGCTTTGGAGAAAAAGCAGGAAACGAGAACCGACGACTATGGGGAAGAAAGAGAGGAGAGGAGAAGAAAGAGAAGTTGGGAGCGAAGGGCAGAAGATATACCTAGGCCTCGACACACGACGTGAAGGTGAGGCTCTGGAACCCCATTCGTCACTGACCTTAATCAATAACTTGGTCTCACCCCTTTGGGCCAATCAATGGGCTTCCCCATTGTTCATCGGCAAGATCTTGCTTCAACAATGACTATTATAAAATCTCCAATAAAGAGAACAATGGGGTGTCTCCTCAGTCCGTTGAATGCTCATTTTCTGGGAATAGACCGTCTCTTCAACAGTACAATTTTAACCTTCTGGTCTACTCAATTTTACCTTTCCTATGATCAGCTTTGCGTAGATAGGGTACACGGTGACACACGGAGATCTGCGCCATGTGGTTGTGCCGAAGGCCAGTGCACTCGATGAAAGTCTTGGCAATGTAGTGCCATAACGTAGATCCACTATAGTCTATATAGTCTATACAATCATGAGCTACTCTCACCACCGCCCTTGGTCAAACGAGAGGTCTTGTCCCTGGGGTCCTACTCTCTGGAGTGACGGCCGAGTGCCAACTGTCGATCTGCACGCTTTTGTGGGGTTCTACTGCCCTGAAACATGAACATGTTGAGTTTCAAGCCATCATACACTAGGGATCATTGCTGACAGGAGTATTCTATTTGCAAGGGCCGCTCATGGGAGTTTATAGTCCCTCGGTTCCATGAGGCCCCGAATCAGAACACGGTACGGTCCTGGTCCATGACAAGCCAGCCAAACACATCCTGCAACCAACCAGCAAGCTGACGATTGAACTTTACATCGGGCCACAGCAGTCGCAGGTAACAGACCGAGTATGAAAAACGATCACACAACGGCCTTGAAATTTCTCTGAAATTTCATGGAAAAAAAACACGAGATCAAACCGTGCCCGAGGTATGGACACTTAGCATTTATTCCCCAAGTATTTACACAAAGATGGACACGATTGAGAAGCTAGCGCCCTAGAAAGCTTTAACTTGTGAGACGGAACCTTTACAATCACAACAACTGATCTTGTCAAATCATCAACTTGGTTTATTCACCGTCAGCGTGGGTTATGGTGTCGAGGTGTCTGTTCCCTTTAGCGAAAAGTGCTCGACATGTCCGTTTTTCTATGGATAATGACACTAGTTTTTGCTTTGGACTCTATATGAAAACAGTTCGCAATCCTCAAACCACCACCAGCTCTCGCAGCAAATATCTGTCAAGTTGTCTCATCCGCCAGTGAATAAGATTCAATCTATCGATTCACCCCTAATGTTTTCACAACTTCAGAAACTAATTCTCGCTGGCAGACAAGTGATACAGACGAGGGGTATCTGGAAGCGTCAATGGTTTCTACAAAGCTTAGTTGTTGTTTCCCACAACGGCAAGAAGAAGGAAGAAATCTTTTCAGATGAGCAAATCGCGTTCCCAAGCCTGAAGATCAAAGCAACAACATGTTATCATACCTTTTTAGCTTATATAAAGCATGGTCTCTTTTCAATTTGTAGAGACCATTATCACCGAAACCAAGGTCGGGACGAGTGCCTTGCACAGTGGAGACACAAATCTTTAGGCATACGGCAACTACGACTCAGATTGAGTCAAGAAAGACGACAACATCCGAAACAACATGAATGAACACAAATTTTATCTAAAAAATCAAAGGCTCAGTCGTTAAAATTTACCCAAATTCTTAAGGTCGGAAAAGCCGTGGTGTATCATCAATCTCGGAAACGTGCGTTGTTTCATTTGCTCAAAGCTTAGACTTCTTGCCAGTCACGTTAGGTACCTCATCCCCCGAAAGCAAGAATTCTGGATAAGACAAACTTCCACCAGAAGCACCACCTGCCGACATGCGCCAGTTTGCGCCATCGACTGTTCATGTATCAGTATAGTACCTTCATAGAAGTTCTTTTGTGTCATCTGACAACTCACCAACAAGCGTTTGACCACTGACATAGCTTCCAGTGTCTGAGAAAAGATATACGGTGGCATCGGCGATGTCTCGTACATGGCCAAAGCGCCCGAGTGGCTGGGCCTTGGTATAGGCCTCCAGGGCATCTGATGGCAGGAGGCGTTCCAAGCCCTAGGGAATGGTAAGTTAATCAATTTTTGACACAGAAGGAACAGTTTTGGAACTTGCACTAACCTCGGTCGATGCAATAGGTCCCGGCGCAATGATATTAGAAGTCAACCCGCGAGGACCATACTCGATCGCAACACTGTTTGACAAGGAATCGATGCCGGCTTTGGCAACGGATACATGGGTCTGGAAGGGCATACCCCGGTAGTGTATCGTGGCACTGACAAAGATGATTCTTCCACCGGTTCCAATCGGTGATGGTTGAACTGAAGGGTTGTCAGTGCCAGTGATGTACAGATGATCAGGTTTGCTGAATGGTGCACTCACGAGTCTTTGGGTCCATTCTGTGTTTGCTTGCTGACTCTTTTAGATACGGAAGAGTTGCCTTGAGGGTATTATAAGATCCCAAGACGTCAATATCCATTACTGACTTGAATGCATTGACTGAGAGTTGCTCAATCAAGGCGAGGAAGTTACCCGCCGCTCCAGCACTGTCACGTGCCATCAGCATAAGGAATTGAAGGCCGGAGGCAAGTTAATGTATCGACATACATGACAAAATCAATGCCTCCAAGCTCCTTTACACAGCGTTCAACTGCTTGCTGCAAGTTCTCGGGCTTGCGCACGTCCACGGAACCAATGCCAATCACCTTGGCACCGGGTCGGGCTGTTGCGATGTCCCGGGCGACACGCTCGGTCTTATCCACATTGCGGCCAATGATACAGGCGTTGGCACCGAGGTGTACCAAGGCCCGAACCTGGGCACTGCAGATAGTGCCAGCGCCACCTGTGCAGAAGACCACTTTGTTTGCTGGACCAAGGGGTTAATGTGATTTTTCTGTGACAATGGACTACCGAGCTCACCGAAGATCCCATCCTTCCAGGAATCACTCAAATATTCTGTCTTGGGCAGCAGCATTCTGTTTACTAGGTACGTCCCTGAAGAGATTGGTTTGAAGATTGCGGGGGAGTTGGGGGACGGTCAGGAGGTTAATGCCCGTTTCCCCACAGTTGGACCTCGGCTCAACGCCATAAGAGATCAGCGCCGAAATACAACCTTGCAAAGCCCTCCAAGGAATAAAATTAGAGCTGAAGCAGTCAGTTGTTTATCTGGTGAATCACCTGTTGAAAGGATTGGTTTATCCTAATACACATTGTCTATTTGTTGTCTCTGCGTATGTCCAGGGGTATTCGCAAGAGGGATCTGAAGGCCTGCTCTGACCTCGATTGGGTTTGACATCACCTTTCTAAATGGTGTTGGGGCAATCAAAGCCACAGGTAAGCTACTTATCTCGCATTTGATCTCGGAAGAATGAATAAACAGTGTGATATGAGAAGTGGCCAAGAATGAGTTCTCCCATTTCTCAGTAAACCGTGACAGCTAGATTATATACAGTGCGCAATTCGGTTCTGAAATTGGCCAGGAGATCCTATAAACGACTGCATAGATTAAATATCAGATCAAGTGAAATATGTTCTAGACAAGGCTTCCAGACACGAATATCTAAATGTAGAACGAACATCGTAATTCCCCTCTTGTTGCGCTGAAGAACAGCCTCCCGCTGATTGGCTGGCGCATAGGCGGACCGCGACGTCACCGGAAAAGAACCGTCTTTTCTTTGCATTGTTGACGTGGATCTTGGACTCAACTCATCTCAGACTCTATCATCTTCGTCAAACACCACTCTTAGACAAGAAATCGGCGTTGAATTCTATAACATGGCCTGTCCCATCAGCGTCAGCAAGTTTGTTGGCACTGTCTCCCTCGGTCTTCTTACCGTACGTCAATCGCATCTATCGCGTCATGAAAGATGATCAACAAATGCTAACAACTTCTTTCAACTCTAAAGGGCCTCTCCTACTCCACATCAGCCATCACAATTCCAGCTCTACAACTCCTTCCAACAGCGACTACCGCCGCCCGCTCCTTAAACGAAGTAAAGCGCCTAACCCGCCGACATGCCCTGCGCCTCTCCTTCCTGACAAATTCTTGCTTCTGTTTCGCATGGTGTCTTTCATCTCCCCGCCGCCGACACCCGTACATGGTCTGGCTGTGTGCATTTTCTACAATCGGTGCCCACGGCCTTGATTTCTGGTTCAACCGTCACCTCGGCTTCAAGAACTGGGCGTCAGCTGTGATCCGCGACGTCTCCCACTTCTCCCTAGTCCGGGACCCGAACACAGGCAAAGATGAAGACCTTGTTGTAGTTGAAGCCCAGGGCGACGTGAACGGCGAGACAGTTCAGCGCGAGATGGTCCGGGAGCGCCGGCTCCAACGAGCGCGCACTTGGTTGTCTGGTATCGCGCTTTCTATTGGAATTGTTGGTCTTTGGGGGGACAAGAGGTGATAGTTCTTCTCTTTGTCGGGAAGGTCCTTCTTTATGATGAAAACACTGCTTGTTGTTCTATTTCTATTGTCTAGAAAAGCCTCTTTTTTCCCACTGTTTCTTTGACCACGTCCAATATTCTTTGTGCCTTATACCTTTTGTTCTGCTCTCCTCTATTCCGCTTTTTTCCCTATATCATTTGATGGAATCAATCTACTAGCAGGAATGGAGTGACGTCTCAAGTTGAATCCGGCATTTCTGAGCCACGCCTGTGAACTCCCCCATCTGACCAGTCGAGTTGAGGCCTTTGAACTCTCATAGGCATTTAGTCTTTACTAGTACGCTGAGAAGGTAGAGTTGGGGCACAGATCCAGCGCGGGAACAAGCACTGCATTTTGGTATTTTTGTATCGCACCCACATTAGGCACAGCGGGACAAATCAAGCCAAGATAACAACTGCATACAGACAAAACAAATTCATCGTCTGATAGATGGTTTCAACCAGCCAGAATGCAGATTCAAATAGACCTCTTCCCTCTCTTATTTAACATGTAAATTCTGCTTGAATAGAAGTAGTTATAGCCCTAGTAACCACGTTCGAAGGAAGGAAACGATACCATACTCGTGGTCTTCAACACAAGGTGCCTTTTATAATGAGAGGAGATAGGTAGGAAGACAGAAAGGAGCACTAAGAGAAGAGTATGTAACAAGAAAAGTGAAGATAGAGTGAAGATAGAGTGAAGAATAGATGAGCAGTCCTCATATTAAAGATAATACGATGTGAGTACTTGGAAGAAGGTGGACTAAATAGAAATATCAAATTTTATATTGGATTTGATGATATACGGAGGAATTATCGAGACCAGCTCGGGAGACAAACTTGTGTGGCACGTAGGACTATAAATACCATCTTCCTTCTCCTCCTCCTCTTCTTCTTCTTACAAACAACCTCCTTCCCCTTCCCCTCTAAACCATCTTCACCAAATGGTACTGTATAATTATGGCGCCTGTGAGTTTCCTTCGATCTTACTTACCCCTCATTTCTACTAACTTGATTTTTATACCTACAAATAGCCGCTTCTTCCTTTTTCATTCTCTCTAATCTTACAACCTCATCCCAAATTCCATATTCCAGCTAGCTAATGCCAAAGGGCATCCTTGGAGAACTTTTCTCCATTGCGATTGACTTCTTTTTCTTTTTTATTCCTGCCCCTGATCTCCTCTACCGAACCGTGCCAGGTCCCAGGCCTCGGCCCTCCAATCTAAAATCACTTCAACGCAGCGCAGAACCACTTGCTTTGTTGAGCAGCGACAGATGGAAATGCTGTGCAAAAAATCTACTAGCAACCGGGCTAGAGAAATCGATGCCCAGTTCCAGATCCTAGACCATCAATTGGACCAGGTTTCTGAAGATCTTGAACGGGCGGAAAGAAAAAAAAAGCCGCCCTTCAAGATGTCCGGCGAGCTATTGAGAGGGACCGTAGAGACCTTTAGGATCTACGGCAAATAGTCGCTGCGGTAGGCTATAGCCTACACTGCCAAAAGCGCCTCGCGGGTGTGGAGGACCGAGTCAAAGGCCTCTTTAAAACCTTGGAGAAGATGCTTGCTACGGCCATGCAAGGCACAATGGGAAGCCAGTTGCTGACTCGCAATACACCGATTGCTGAGTCCTCGACCAACCTTGGGTGTTGCACGGCGCTATGTCGTAGGGATGTATTTTTAAAATCCTTCCCCAACTGTGAGGGCCTGGGAGGATGACACATGTATTACTCAGCAGGGTATTCCATCCTATGTTGTACGCAACTATTTCATAGTAATAGGATCATCTTTACCACCATCTGGTCTTATTCCGTAACACCAACTCGAGGAAAGCTGGGTACTAGTATTCAACGCGGAGATTCAAGTCTTCTTTCCAAAAATCCCCCCAAACAGAAATTTCTGGAGAGATGAATAAGAGCAAACATGAGTAAGCCTCACACTTCTACCTATAAATACAAACCCCAAACCAATGGCAATAGTGAAATTTGCTTATAAAGTGAGTTGTGTAGAATTAATGAGGTTGAAAAATGCCGATGATCGATCGGGTAAAAGTGGAGAGGGACAGGAACCAAAAGCATGGACGACGGCATGTAATTTTCGTTAGAAGATGCATAAAACAAGATATGCAAAATCATCTATAGCTGTACCTCAACGGTAACTCGGTCGCAATATCTACAGCCATTGGGTGTTGGGGAGGAGATGATTCTATCTAAGCATACATAGAGTTGCAGTGATCACGCGTTGAACACCCCATGTACCCCTATTTACTATGATTGACATCAAGAAAGAATGATTAGCAACCTGGGACTTAATGAGTGTTGAAGGGTTATAGCCAGACCAATGATCTGAAGAAATGAAATTAATCTCAATACGCTAAGGATAGACGGCGGAGTTGTCGGAAATGAGCCCCTTGGCGCAAAATCAATAAGAAGGGCATGACAGCGCAGCTAATGTTTTTGTTAATGAAATAACACTGATTTAGAAAAAAAAAAGCCAACGGACTTGAAAAAATGGTCAACTTCACTTTGGTCAATGGTCAAGTCTACACGCCAGGCCTGGCAATTGTCGATGCGCCACAGCCCAACACGCCCCTTGGAGGAGGCAAGTCGATACGCCAAACCTATCAGCTCCCTACTAATCTTTTTTAGAAAACCTACAAGTCGCAATCGACGTGTCAGGCAATGGTCAACTACCATGGCCCGCATCAACTAAACCCAACTCTTCCACTCGCTTCCACGGCATCACACTCTTCTTAACCTCCGAGTCGCACAACTTCACCATCTCCAACGGCACAAAGCCCGCATCCAACACTAGCTACGTGGGTCCCGTCTTGGACCTGGAGCCCTCATCCACCGTCAAACATGTGAACTGGATTTGGCCCGAGTGTCTCGTGGGAGACGGCCCTGGCTCAAAGGAATCGGCACGCGGGGCATACAACATCTCCATGCACCAATCTTTCCGCTGGAATGGGGCCGACTATTATACTGTCTTTGACCTGCCGATCTCCGTGACCAACAGTATATCCAAGAGTGATGATCGGATCAACTGCGATTTGCTAGAGAACAAGCTTCTTAGCGCGGCGGAAATCAGCGAGAGCTCGGATTCGCTGCCTGGGCAGCCGTGGGTTAAGGATGGAGCCAGTGCGACAGTATCTAGTGCCGGGGCAACTCAGACGGGGGCGGGTAATCGGGGTCATTCAGGCTTCAAGAGAGTAGCTGGCATTGCTATTGCCGCGACAGCTATTTTGCATTTCCTAGGTTGAGGCTTGCTCCTGGAGATCGTGGATTTCGTTTTCTTGTATACTACCTTTTATTCCATCATTTTGTCTTGTTGAAATTATTATACAACCAAGAAGATCGATACTTTCCCGTGTGACCAATTACATATCCAGATTTAGATTTACGAATGAGCGTCACAATTTAATCTTGGCCATTCGACGAATGACCGTCAACCCCTTCTGTTAGTGATCATCGCGGGTATTTCTATTTCGGGAAGTATACATTCTTATGTTGATGTTGGAAGGTCCCTTGATTACCTAGCTCTCTCCTAAATGCCCAGTTTACTCTATCGGGGTTTTGTTCCACATCTCCAGTCAAGTATGCCAGGAACATCAGATCGCGCACATCGTAACCTAGCCCGAAGTTGACACTGAAACCACCAAGCTCCCCCAGCTCTCGCACTTTCCATGACGATTCTATCCGCCTCCCGACGAGGCCTCCGGTACCGCATCGCACGAGCTCTGATCATAATCTTCACGATATGGAATCTGGCCGAAATTCATCTGATTCGGCACCGAATTTATGACGCTGTCCCCCGACACCGGCCGCAGAACAAAGAACGAATTTACATCGCAAGCATCCACTGGAACAATGAGCTCGTTCTACGCAGTCACTGGAGCAAGGCACTCACACAGCTGGTCTTGGAGCTTCATCCGGAAAATGTTTTCATTAGCATGTACGAAAGTGGGAGCTATGACAACACGAAAGACGCGTTAAGAGAACTAGACTGGAAACTTGAGCGGATGCGGGTGCCACGGAATATTACTATTTCACCTGTTACACATGAAGATGAAATGGCCACCCCTGTGAGGGAAGACGGCTGGATTCGTACTCCCAATGGGAAGAAACGACCAAGGCGAGTGCCGTATCTAGCGCGGATACGGAACTTGAGCTTGCTGCCTCTGCAGGATCTTGCAAGGCAAGGCATCACTTTTGATAAAATCCTATTTCTGAATGACGTCGTGTTCACGGTTCATTTGAAACAGCTACCTTTTGTTGAATGAGTATTCTAACGAAGCCTCTCTTTTGTTGGCCAGCCGAACGACATCCTCAAACTCTTGAATACCAATGGCGGCGAATACGGTGCAGCTTGCTCTTTGGATTTCTCTAAGCCTCCAAACTATTATGATACATTTGCTCTCCGGGATGACAAGGGCCATGAGCCTATCATGCAGACATGGCCCTATTTCAGCTCTACGAAATCGCGACATGCAATGAAAAACCTGTCTCCAGTCCCTGTGGCGAGTTGTTGGAATGGAATGGGTACGCTGACCTTTATTCTAGAAAGAATTGCATAGTCATTGCAGATACTAACACACGTATAGTGGCGATGCCCGCAAGTCCATTTATCGCTAGCTCCCCACTTCGCTTCCGAGGTATCCCCGATTCACTAGCCGAGTATCATCTTGAAGGCTCCGAGTGCTGTCTCATCCACACAGACAACCCACTCTCATTGGAAAAGGGTGTTTATTTGAACCCTTTGGTGAGGGTCGGGTATAGCGGCGCTGCATTTGCAGCTGTTCATCCGGTGATGGACTGGCTTTCTGCGAAACGGGTTCTACAAGGATTGTGGGTGAATCGACTACGCCGCTTGGGTATCACTTCATGGTTGAAAGAAGCAGTAGTTCGAAGACGGCTAGACAGCTGGAGAGCTTTAAGTATTGGAAGAGAGGAGCGTGGGGAACTTTGTATTATCAATGAGATGCAAGTTCTGCATCGATATGGATGGGCCCATGTGTAAAAGAAGAATTGCTGGTATCTATAGCCTCATGTTACCAGCATGATGTCATTCCCTGGTGCTTATATCTGCATCTCGGACAATATCCATACTCCAAGATCTCCAAAAGGAGCAATACCTACATGGCTTGGAGATCAAGCTCTGCAAAAAAACGATCTACCATTTAAAATTAATAAGCTAGGAGAGAGTCCCACCCCCCAATCCTCTGAAAATACAGACAATACTAGTCTAATCTCCACTTCCCGTCTTTTCATAAATCGACTTTTTTTAACATCTCCGAGGCCGGCGCAAAAATGCCCGATTATGTAACCCGCGCAAATCGCCCGTTTGGGACTGTATCAAACAGCAAAGCCCCCACTTACCCTCTGCCAACCACCTAAATCCCCAAAAACACAAAATGGCAACGATTCAAATCCTCGACGGAGGCCTTGGCACCTCTTTGGGCGATCTATATAATATCAAATTTGATTCCAGAACGACCCCTCTCTGGGCCTCACACCTGCTAGTGAGCGATCCAGAAACGCTGCAAGCATGCCAACGCGACTTCGGCGTCGCCGGAGTAGACGTTCTCCTAACAGCAACCTACCAAGTCTCCGCCGAGGGATTTTCTCGGACCAAAACCCCTCAATTCCCAGACGGGATTCCACGCAGCGCAGTAGGGCCCTTCCTACAGAAAGCCGTGGACATCGCCGAGCAAGCGAAAGTGCGCGAGAGCGCAAGCGTCGCGCTCAGCCTTGGTCCCTACGGTGCATGTATGATTCCAGGACAGGAGTATAGCGGTGCATACGACGCTGAGCATGACTCGGAAGAGTCGCTGTATTTGTGGCACTTGGATCGGTTGCGTATGTTTGCTGATGCGGATGGGGAGCTTGTATCGCGGGTGCGGTATGTTGCGTTTGAGACGCTGCCGCGGCTTGATGAGGTTCGTGCTGTGAGAAGGGCGATTCGGGATTCTGCATTCGATGTACCGTTTTGGATTGCCTGTGTATTCCCGCGCGATGATGATCTCTTGCCTGATGGGAGCTCGGTGGAGGAGGTTGTACAGGCTGCCGTTGCACCGATGGAGGGTGGGGCTGTTCCCTGGGGAATTGGGGCTAATTGTACTAAGATGCATAAGCTTGGTGGGCTTGTTGATTTGTTTGGTCACGCTGTTGCGGGGGGTGTTGCCAAGGGGCAGATATTTGCCGTCCCGAGTTTGGTTTTATATCCTGATGGGACGAATGGGGAGGTGTACAATACTACGACGCAGATCTGGGAGAAAAATGATGCGTTGAGTGATAATGTAAGTGCTAAAGTGAGTACAACTTCCAGGTGGGAATATTAGAGGTGACAAGTATGCTGACGTGAAGTTTAGCGACCTTGGGAGGAGCAGTTGGCCCAGGTGGTCAACGTGGCCTACGAAAAGGGCTATTTCGATTCGTTCCTTGTGGGCGGGTGCTGCAAAGCTTCGTACCACGATATCAAAAAACTAGGACAGCAATTTAAGACTCATTAAGCGTTCTGAGTGTGAATATCATTTACGAATGAAGTTTTTATTATATATGTATCGAATTGGAAAAGCTTTTGTGAATCGCTAATGTTGAATAGCCGGCTTGGCATGCAAAGATTAATATATCATGAAGTGTCATTTAAAAGAGCCAATCGGTGAGCTTCGTCCACCAGTTGTTATGCGGGTTTTCAACCGGTTTGATCTCCCCATCTAGGAGACGGCCCGACCATAGGTCGATGTTGGCAGCACGCTCAAACTGAGCATTCAAATGTTAGCAACTCTTCGTGAAAAAGCAAAAAGCAACCAGGATGAGAGGAGCTAAACTAACCTTGGTGCGATGCCAGAGCTTCCAGCAAATGATGGGAACGATGAAGATGGGGATACCGATGTACGATGCAACGAAGTTGGACGTACTCCAGTTGCCCTTCAAAAACACGGGGAAACCAGCAACCAAAGTAATGATAGTAGAGCCGATAAAGCCTACCCATGCGGCATAAGGTTGAAAGGGTGCTTTCCATGGGAAAGTTTCTCGGCTCACATTTTGTTTCTTCAATGCGGCATAGAAACGAATGTAGCAGACGCAAAGGGTTGCCCAAGCGATCAGACCGGCAACCGTGCTGAGGTTCAGAAGCCAGGTGAATGCCTGCGCTGCGCCACCGCTACCGAGACTCAGGTACGCCAGCGGCCCAAAGAGCCAGGCGGCGACGACAGCCACATATGGCACACCGTGCTTGTTTACGCGGCCGAAGATCTGGGGCAGCTGGTGGTCTGTAGTCATGGCGACAATCATGCGTGATCCGACCCAGCAGTATGAGTTACCGGCAGACCACGCGGCAATGAGAATGCATGCATTCACGATCGAGGGCAGAGCGTTGATGCCGGCGTTGGTGATGGCAATCACAAAGGGCGAGCTGTTCGCGTTGCCAGAGCCGGAGACCAGGCCTGTGGCTCTTGGGTCCACGATCATGCCGATGAGAAGTGCTCCGAGAATGTAGAAGAAGGCAATGCGGTAAGTCACACGACGGGCGGCTTTGGGAATAGCACGATGAGGATCAACCGACTCAGATGCGGTAATGACGACGGTCTCGACACCAATGAAGCTGAACGAGGCATTGACGAACGACGACAGGAAGCCGAGGAAGTGACCTGTCGGTCCGGTGATGCCGTTGTAGTTTGTCCATGGTCCAGGATTATTCCAGTAGCGGAATCCAATGGCGTCGCCGTTGGGACCACCGCCTGCCGTTATGACAATGGAGACAATAACCAAGCCAAGGAAGCAGAGGACCTTGACGGCACCTCCAAAGACTTCGGTTTCACCATAGAATCGCACACTCATCAGATTGATAGCCAGAATGAGCACCAACCCAACAGTGATCACCACAGCAGGCGTGAGATCCGTCCAATATGAAACAATAACCGCAGCCGCCGAGACTTCCGAGGCGATGGCGATAGTGTAACAGTATCCATATGAGATAGCGAGGGAGAAACCAACGGACGGGTCGATAAATCGAGTCGCCCAGTGGGGGAAGGATCCAGCAGTTGGAAAAAGCGTTGCGAGTTCGGCAATACTTTGCATGACGCACCACAAAACTCCTCCCACAATAATATACGCCAGCAGCAAACCCGCAGGGCCAGCTTTGGCATAGGCAGCGCCAGTTCCTACGAACAAGCCGGTGCCAATACCACTGCAGAAGCCAATCATGGTAACCTGGTAGTTGCGCAGGCGTCGCTGCAAGGCCGCCCGACCGCCGACATTGAGCTCGAACTCCCCCTTGGGATTTGAATCGTACTCATCAAAATCTGCGCCGAGGGCCGGCTGGACCTTGTCGTTATTGATAGACTTTTCCATGTCGTCGTGTGTAGTGCCAATCATCCAGGCCAAGTCTTTCCCCGTAGCTTGTACCCCGGAGACTTGAAGAGGGATCATAGAGCTTATGTGGGAAACGGCCTTTTTCTTATCCCCCCGAAACATAATTCGGTCGCGTCCAAGCACGACATTGGGGCTTCCATTCACGCCGATTTTTTCTCCACAGTGGGGAAAGCTCATTGGACTGTATCGCTCGGAGTTCGGCCTCTCTCCACTTTTCTGGGAGGCAATTGACTAACTTTTTCTTCTTTTGCCATAATCAGGATGGCCGATCGGACCGATGGGAGGCAAATGCATAAGCAAAACTGATTTGTTGGTGTCATGGTGTCCCAAGGCTCGCTGATATGTGGCCAGAAGGGATTATGGCCAAACATTGAGTCCCAAGGTTGTAGAGAGGCGATGAAAAATGGATGCATCTGGAAGTATTCCACGTGAGGCGCCGGATGTGTCCACAAAGGTACCCCCTCCCAAGTCAAAAAAATAAAAATTGAGGCGTTAGTTAGTTACATCTGAACGCCTGAAGCATCATGCATTCTTTTTGGCCTTAGGCATCAATTCGGAATTCAGACCTGGATGTCGCATGAGCAATTGACCATTCTTGTTGATCGAATCATGTAAATCCAAGCAATCGCCACGCCTTTAAATGGATAAGTGATTCTAGTTATGTGAGTCCAAATAAGAGCTCAGTGTGTCAGTAAATGGTCCCCAAGTGGACGATAATTCGAGGAATTATTGAGCGGTACAATAAAAAAGGGTCCTGTAGTCAGCCGCAAGGTTTTAGGTCGTAAGGCGAATAGAGAATGGATCCTCTTCTATATTTTTGGGGGTTTGATCTTGTACTCGTGCATGCTAGACCAGCATAGATCAATTGATACTCACCTGCGACCTTTGTTCCGTAACCTTCACCCTGTTACTCTGCCGGAGTATTTGCAACGAATCATTCGATGTCATTTGGCTCAGCCATTTTTTTTTAACCCGCATTGGATCAGGTAGGCGAATTGTCACCAACCAGTCATGGACCATTTGCTGACACAGTGTTTGTCTTTTGAAGACTGCCTCCTCGGCACAGGAGAATTCGTCACAGATTTTCTTCCACGCTGGTCATGGTGGAATGATCAAGTTCAAATCATCACTGGACGAGGGGTATTTGCAAATCAAAGAGCATTGGGTTCAAGTCGCGAAGATGCTGAAATGAGTCAGTAACTGACACCTGAATTATTAGGCCACCCTGTAAAATCTCGTCCTCGAGTTAACTATCTGGATCGTTCCTCTCCTCTAACGGATTTTGATTTGACACAGATTTGGCAGCAATAGTTGAATGAAGGCTATTATTAGTCCACCCCAGTGCTCTTGATTTGTTAGTCTCCCAGCCACTGGTGGGGCTCTAAGCCCACCTCCTCTCTCTCTGTCTCCTTTCGGCTTTGTACAAGCCTACAAGCCTACAAGCCTAATCCGGCAAGGACGTTCGATAGTGCCAGATGAACCTAGTAGTACTCAGTACATATCTGAGATACTCTTCAAGATGCGTATTAGCCCTATGAACTAAAGCTAAGTGGGCTATGCCAAGACTCAGATTTTATCGCAATTTCCCCGCTCTCACGCTGCCAAGTGCCAAGTTTTCATTGTGATGTGTAGCCAAGGGGTAATGCAGGATTTAACGTTAATCCAAGATAGTAAGAGCAGGCCAGTCGTCGGTTATTACATGAGAGAGAATCTTGCTGCTAGATGTCCCTGGAACCAAATTAAGTATTTATTAAATAGCTTTCCCAATAGCGCTGATCGTCTTTTTTTTGCAACTCGGAAGATGGGAACAGATAAACTCTTATTCAGCTGTCCCCTCATTCAACCCCTTTAATCGCAAGGAATGCCCGATAACCATCTATCCCTTTAAATTCTAACAGCTTCCTTCTCCCAATCATCACATTTGTTTGATTTAAATTGGAATGACTCAAATTGAACCTTCTCTGCGAATTGCTCAGCTGGAGGCGTCCCCGCTTACCTCAAGCGGGGAGGGCTCTAGTGGGGAGGGATCTCCCTCGCCCGTAAAGGCAGCGCCGGCTCCCAAGGTTGGTAGGAAGCTGCCAGGATGGCTTGACCACTTCAATGCCCGGGATCTTAAAGTGCTGTTTCGTTGCTCGCTGGCAGCATGGGTCGCGTCGCTGTTGATCTTTATCACGCCGTCCTTAAGCGGCATTGGTACAGCGACTTTTTTTGCAGCGTGAGCGCATCTATACATCTCATCTGGATATCTGTTGCTAATCTGCTAATCCAATTACGATCAGTCTGGTACTCTTCATGGTACCTCCGACCGGCATTGTTTTCATTTTTCTTCTAGGAACTCTAACCCTCATCCTTGGCATGGCATTGGGCTGGGCCTGGGGTGCCATCGTCATGAAGGCTGCCATGGCAGCAAGACCGGCGGCCGAGACCCAGGCCAAGCTTCAAGCCCTTGGCCAGGCCGCATACAGGCAGGCTAATTCTACCGGGCAACCTGTGGCAGCTGTTCAGCAGCAGCTTATCTACACAGGCTGGATGCTTGACGCTCGTGTAACCGCTGTCCACTATTGCTTAATCTGCCTGTTCATCTATTTAATCGTGAGACCTTCCTGATTCAAGTCTCTGCGTATCAATATACTAACCCTTTTGCGCAGTCCCGTCTTCGGGCTAAGAACCCCAAATTCACTCTAGTGCAGATTTTCGGGATCATCATCATCGATGTTTCTCTCACTATTGGCCCGCTGCTTCCATCCTTCAATGGTACCATCCCTAAAGTCTTGATTGAGCCCGCCGCTATTGGAATTGGACTAGGTCTGGTCTCCCATTTCATCTTCTTCCCTAGATCAACCTCCCATGTTGTGCTTGATGGCATGGAAGGGTTGGTGCGGCTACTCAAAGGGCCTCTAGACGCCACAGAGAAGGCTGTTCTAAAACGTGAAGTCTTGGCTATGGATGACCTACAAAACATCAAGGTGAGGATAATTGCTGCCTATAGGGATCTCAAGCCGGCCCTGAGCTTTTTGCCATTGGACTTCTCCGTCAGTTGGTGGGGGGCTGAAGACATCAAGAGCATGAAAAAACCAATCCGCCAGGCCTTGATAAGCAGTCTATCCCTTCTGGAAGTTCACATCGCTCGCATCGGGGGAAATACGAAGTTGGAAAAGTTGCACCAGCTTACTGTGGATCGGGATTCAAACTCCGATTCCCAAGCGAGTGGAAACGAGAAGAAACGTCCACGCGAGGTTGGCATGCGCCAGCTGATGGAGAGTGTTAATTTGGTACAAGCATTGCGAAGCCCGGAACATGAATCTATGCGATCGGAAACTGTCGAGGTCCTGCACGAGTCCAGCAAGAATATCCTCCCGGCGTGCCAGGAAGCTGTTGAGATCATTGCAGAGTCCATTAACACGGTTAACAAGCGTTGGTTCGATCGCTCGTCCAAGGAACATCTTAATCAGTTACACGAGCGCAGTCAAACTGCGCTGCGGAATCTTCAGGCTCTGCGCTCATCGTTTGCAACGGAAACCACCGAACGTTTGATTGAAACACACGTGGAGATCTTCGACGAAAAAGGCATGCTCAAGGCCCTTGACGAAAATACATTGCGCAGAGTTAGGGGTATCACCATGGGAATGATCTTCGAAGAGCAGGTGCTCGGCGTCGCCGACGGGTGGGAGCGGGTTCTAGGACAACTTGTCGCTCTCCTGAAGGAACGCCAGAAGCTCCGTCTGTGGTTACCCAAGGGAATACGATATGCAATGAACTGGATTCTTCGAAAAAACGTTGTGGTGCCTGTGACCGCGGCTCAAAATCCAACCATCGACCCCGACGTCGCAGAGACGCAGTCCAAAGCAGCACAGCAGCAGCTTCGCATCAGCAGAGGGTATCGTGCCAAACGAGGCAGCCGCTTTGGGCGCGCTGTCATCGGCACCTATCATTGGTTCATCAACCCGGAAGGTCTCTATGCAATGCGGATGGTGGCTGTCACCGTCGCACTCGCTATCCCTGCTGCGATTCCTCACACTGCGGGTTTCTATTACCGCGAGAAAGGTCTGTGGGCCCTCATTATGGGGCAGACCACACTGGTCACATACATGGCCGACTTCACTTTCTCCTTTATTAGTCGAGCTGTTGGTACCATTGTTGGCGGTCTCCTTGGCTTAGTTGCATGGTACATCGGCTCAGGCCACGGTGCAGGCAACCCGTATGGTCTTGCTGCTATCACGGCTGTTGTGCTCACGATTCTCATGTGGGGACGCATCTTCGCCCCGCCTGCTATGCTTCAAGCTGTGATGATGGCTGGTGCTACCTGCATGCTGGTGATTGGTTACAGTTTCGAGGATACGTAAGTAAACTGTGCCACATTGCGAGAAGCAACACTGCTGACACACACTTCCTAGGCATGTCCCAACTTATGGCAATCCCGGGTGGGGATACAATGTTTTCTGGCGACGATTTGTGCTTGTGATTGTCGGCTCCGCAGCGGCACTGATCGTGCAGCTCTTCCCTCGCCCACCATCTGCGTCGGGACACGTCTGCAAGTCCCTTTCAAATGTCCTCCGCCTACTGTCGGACCACTACGCGCTTCTCTTATCCTGCTGGGGACAAGGGCGCGAAGAAGGTCTGGCCGCCGAGAAGCTAGCTCTTAACCTCGCCGAAACTCTTACCGCATTGAATGGGCCCATCGCGTTGCTGCGCTTTGAATTTTCCAGCTCGCCATTTGATAGCGACCGTCTCGGCCAGGTGAAATCGCTATGCCAAGAACTCAACCAGAACATCGCTCGCCTACTTTACCTATCGGCTTCGCTGCCCGAATACCTGCAGAATCGGCTAGCTCGCCAAGCTGGTCTTCTTGACCACCACAATATCGGCGACATCATGGCTGTTCTAGGCGTGATTGAACAATCACTCAAGACGGGTGACCCTCTACCCGAGGTGCTGCCAACGCCACTACTCAACCGTTGCCACGATTACTGGATGTCGCACCAGGTGGATATCATGCTAAGTAAAGAATTGATCCGCGATGAGAACTACCGCCGGTTCTGCGTGGCTATCAGCTCGTACCTCAAATTCCTGGCCACTGTGGATGACCTGGTGCTCGTGATGAAAGGGACACTGGGCGAGTCACACATCGTCAGCCGCGACCTGTTGAAGGAGCAGTGTGTATAAAGTATGTACATGAACATAAAATATCTATCTCTCTCAATGATGTGTTCGCCTACACCCGCGGACATATCTCGTGCACATAGCTAACGTGTCATAAAAATCTCCAACGTTCCTCCGCACGGGTTTCTCCACCTTTTTTCTTTCCCCAATTCCCTAAACCATTCTAGCGCTGAATCCTTTGGCTTTCAATGCCGTTCAACAGTTTTGTCTTCCCACTTTTGATCTCTTGTGTAAACCATTCGTAATTCTCATTTCTCAAATCCGACTGCGGGTTTCACCCCCATGGCTACACGTCTTGCCCGTCTTCCCCGGTGGATTAGCCACTGGCTGGGCTATCGCCCTGAAGCCGTGAAGCCACTCTGTAAATACGAAGTCGCTCTATGGTCCTTCCTTACCTCATTTTGCGGTCTATCGATCCTCCAAGCGATTTTCAACTACTCCGACTACTTCACCGAGCGCAACGTACCGGGTTTAATCGCATCCTACGTACGTGACAAATGATTCAAACGTATTCCCAAAAGATTTACAATTGACTTACCTCCAAATCAACAGGGTGCATCCGCAGTCCTCGTCTTCGGTACAATCGAAAGTCCGCTCGCGCAACCGCGTGCTCTAGTCTTCGGCCACTTTTTTAGTGCCTTGATCGGCATCTGCGTTACCAAACTGTTTAGTTTGATGCCCGACCAGGCGCGGTTCGAGTCCCTGCGCTGGCTGGCCGCTTCGCTATCTACGGCTATTGCTATTGTCGTAATGCAGTTGACGGGCACCACCCATCCGCCTGCTGGTGCGACTGCTTTGCTCCCAGCTACCAACAAGGAGATCTGGCGACTTTCTTGGTATCTCTTGCCTGTTGTCCTGCTATCTTCTGTTGTACTTATGGTGTGTGCGCTGCTGTTCAATAATTTGCATCATCGGTATCCAGTATTTTGGATCGCGCCTGCTCCACCGAAACCTGCTGCGCCTTCTCTGGTGCCGGCGCCTATCGACGCTTCCTTGGAAGAGGAGAAGGCAGTGAAGAGTCTGTTTTGAGTTGGGACGTTGGGGAGTAAGAGGTGAAGATTTAGCTTCAAGAAAGCTTGTAATGCACTTTTAAAATGGGCACACGGTATGTGCAGACATCCGTCTGGTGGAGGATGGTGCGAACTGCATATAAAAACTTAATTGCACTCCTAACATTTTCGAAATATTACGGGTGAGTCTTATTTCATCACACTTTCAGGCCCCGGGGTTCAAAATATCCGTTGACAGGACTCGTCACAACTGTACTATTTTCTAACAACAACAGTCAGGAAAAAATGCTTAGTAGTAGCGACCTGGTAGTCCTCTAATTTTATTTGACTAGGTGTTCATCGGTGGATGTGGTGGGAAGAGTCAGCGTTGCATAGGTCGCGGGGTAAAGGTCGTGGTGCGAATATAAAGTCGTATCGCATAGGTAGGATAAGATATTCTGACGACTTCTTATTCGTTTTCTTATAAGTTTAACCTCACGAGCTTCACTCTACTATTTAACGGCCCTACAACTCTAACTTTCCACACCACGTCCCTTGTTCACCATCAACAGCCACTGTAGTAGTGGCAACGCCCTAGGGCTGTTCACTCAGTTTATGAATACTGTAATATTTGATATAAGGGAGTATCAGTCTCGTCTCTCTATCTGATATGTTGAAACGTGTTTATTCAAACAACAAACATATTGTTTTCTATCATTTAGGGCTCATTTTTTCAACTTTTCTCCTTGCACTTTTCATCTTACTTGATTGACTATCTTTCTACAATTTGCACCATATCTGAAGCAAAGGCTTCGATTTTATCGATGTAACCATAATTAATGTAAGCACCGCTAAAACAATTTGAAACGCGGGCACCTTGAAAACAGAAAAGAACCCAAAACGTAACCGCCAAAACAGAGAACCAATTTGAAATGTAGGCATCAGAAAAAGAGAAACTAAAACCGCCGGCCAAAGAAACAATTTTTATGTCCTTTTTCGTCTTTTTTCTTTCTTTTTTTTGGCAATTTTTTTTTTTTCATCGGTTCATCGTGAAAACATCAAAGCAGCCAGAAGTGTGAGCACCAAAAAAACATTGAAACTCGCGGAGAACAAGACCTCGAATTTACTCCTCCTCAGACAGACTAGAGTACCATTCGCTCTCGCTGTCCTCTAAGATGATAGGTGGAAGGGAAGGGGAAGGGGTAGGTTCACGCGTGGGTAGATAGAAATCCATGCACTGTCTGCAATCGCAGTCCTGGTCCTTATAGTAGAAGCGGCCCCAAAGGTGTCGAAGAATCTCACATCGCTCATCGTCTTCTCCCAGAACCTTCTTTTCCCAACGATGCTGCTCTTGCTCAGCCATCCGGGCATTCTGCACAGATTCATCGTCCTCGTCGCTCCATCCATGAAGGGTGAGACTTCCAACCTGCATTGCCAACATGTCAAACATTTTCATGAGCACTGGCTCGGTGATGTCGGCGATTCCATCAAAGGTGTAGGTTGCAAAGAAATTGGTAGAAGCAGAGATCTCATCAGTCAACACCATGAGGTTCTCGCATTTCTTTTCGAAACACTTTCCCTGCTGGTCAGAGTCCTTTCGAATGAGTGTCCACATAGAGATTGTATTGAAGAGTTGGCGGAGGTAGGTTTGGATTTGAGGGACCAGTCTGCCTCCTGGATCTCCACCAGAAAATTTCTCCAGCTCCACGACGAACTCATTGCGAGTTGCCTTGAAGTTCTGGATGGCAGCACGCTTGACGTCGGGATGCATGATGAGAGGTAGTAGAGGAGATTATTTGATGGTGGTGAATCTAGATGAAGAGGATGATTAGCGATGATTGCATGTGATGGATGTAGATGGAGATGATTACCGAGGAGGATTATTGGTTGCGAAGGGAGATGAAGCTGATTCTAGACGCCAATCAGTCTAAATGAAGATGATAGTTAGCGATGAAGATCTATGATGGAGGTAGGTGGAAATGACTACCAATAATGATGCTTGATGAGAGGTGATAGAGGATGATGGTTAAGGATAGAGATAGGCGGATGAAGGAGAAGAAGAAGAAGAAAGATATTTCGAATCGTGAGAGGAATGCCTTTAATACTCGAGCAACTGGGTGCTAGAGTAGCAAATTGAGATGATAATCATGCTTTTCTATCGGAAGAGCTTAAGAGAGACCATTGATCTATGGAGACCATCAGCCAGAGGAAGAAAGCCTTTTGGGGTAGAGATACGAGTCCTTTATTCAAAGCTATGCCTTTCATTCTTTGCCTTGACAAACACGAATTGTAGAATCAGTGTTGTAATGCTATCGAGACTGCAAGTGGAGTTCAATCATGAAAAAGACATAGTTAACACGCAAATTAACACATAGCAAATGGGGAGAAATTGGGTTAGAGACCAGCAACTATACGTGATATCCTAACTATAGAGATGTACCCCCGTAGACAGGTCTTTGTATAAGTAGACAGTGGCTTAAAAGATATGATGGCCTTTAGAAACCATTGGCTAAAGATATAAAGCCTTAGGATTCAAGGGATAAGAGGCCTTTTATTTAAATATGGACCTTTTGTTATTTAGTTCTATGAAGATTATGTAGAGAATACATGTCTTCGTACCATCGGAATAATTTATGGAATCCCTGGTTATACCTATAAAGGTCTTTTTAAGGGTTTAAATTTTTATTGGCTTAGTTTATATCCCAAAACAACACAAAAAATCCCAACGTGCTCTTACTTTTGAAAGCTGTAACCTTAAATCCGGTTAGGTCAAATAGATCAAATTAGTCGTGTCTTCTGTTGTCAAATGCGGAGACTACATGACTGGCACACTATTCTTGTAAGCAACCAAAAAGAGATTGTAGCAAAATTCCAACCTATCATACAGAAATCAGGGAGAAACTAGCCATAGCTCAAATAAATATAGATGTGTATTTTATGATAGAGTAGATCGAGAGGCTACTACGTAAAGACATCCTAGAAGAACTCTAGTTGCGTGAGGAGGAAAAGGACTAGGAGCAAACAGTAGAAAATAACATCACAATAGGGACAAATCAACTGAAAGACACAATGTATCTGTAGAGACCATTAGTTGAAGGAACAAAGCCGTTGAGTTCGAGAGATGAACCCTTTACTTAAAGCTGTACATTCTACAAACACTACGTATAGTCTAAATATTCCAAAACTATCGAAAGCTG